AAAATGCATCGTTTGGAATTTTTTTTTGTTTATGTTGGTGGGGTTGAGTGGGAGTAATACGAAATTGTTGTCTTTCTATCATTCAATAATAATAATAATCATTATCCCATATTTTTGTTTTGGTTTATCATTGTCATTGTCATTGAATTTGTATACAATTGTAACAATATTTAGTCAAATTAGGGTTGATACAAATATAATATTTTTTTTTCTCTCTTATCATCAATATACAAAATAATGATAATGATAATGATATTGTAAAGTACAACAAAAAAATCTCTTCCACCTTCTTTTACTTATGCGTTTATTTGTTAAATCTTTTTTTTCATGTTCGTGTATGGCTGATTCTGATGATGATGATGATGATGATGATTATCATTATTATTTTAATATATTTTTGGTTCAATAATAAAAACAAATATTGTTGAAAGAAGAATAAACAACTATATTCATTTTGGAAATATATTGGAAAAAAGATGATTTCATCATTTATCAATAACATTATTCTTAATTTAAAATTATTCGATCTTATTGTATTTTCAATCGAATACAATTTATATGCAAACGGAAAATTTGAATGCTATCATCATGATTTTTTTTTGTTGTTGAAGAAAGTCGATTCCTCAATACTCTATCTGTTTATTTTCAAAATATAACACATTTAATATACCACCACTATTTAGAAATGGTATATCAATATATTTTCACAACTGACATTTATAGGAAATCGTTTTTGCTCTATCTATTTTATTCTCTAGTTTCATTGATTTGTGTTCACCAAAAATGTATTGACAATAATAATAAAAAAATAATAAATAAAGAAAAATTGTCATTGATATTCAATGAAAAATGGTAACGACTTGTAATCATCGATTGAGCACAAACATGTATGCAAACAAAAATTATTGAATTCAATATGAACAATATTGTTCATTGTTTGAATTGATGTACCGTTTGTTCGTTGTGTTTTGATTTTTATTGTTTGTCAATTTTTCTTTTTTTTTGTTCGAAATCGAATGAAAGATTATTATAATTGTCATCATAAAGTATATATGAAGAATATAGAATCATAAAATAAAAATCCATAAATGAAATGACATTTGAACAAAACATTTTGTTATTGAAAAAATGAAATTGAAAAATTCGATAAAACCAATCACAAATATTTTGTAGACAATGATTTACAATGAATGTGACCGCAAAAATTGCTTGGTAAAATGATCTATAGAAAAAATATTGGATAAACAAAATTATTTTACCGAGAATAATTCGTTGAAAAAAACTGGGAAGATTTTTTTTCTTTTTATTATAATCTTCAATATAGGTGTGTGGAAAATGAGTAAGATGAAGATACATTATGAATGCTATACTCTTCATTTTTTTCTCAGTTAGTAATCTTTTCTTTTTTTCAAAATTCAATCTCATTATGCTGATGATTCGTGTTAGAATTTGATTTCATTTTCGGGTTTTTTTTGATTTGATTTTTTTTTCTAGTTTTTATCCCGATGATGATGATGATGATCAAACATAACTATTATCGATCGACGTTGTTGTTGTGTTTTCGTTTAATATTCTGCTTACATCGATGAAGCAAACATAATTAGGATCAGAGAGAAAAAAAATTCCAATTTAAATCTCAATGGAAGAGAAAATCAAATCAAATAGACAAAATAAAAACGAAAATTACATCTTATCCTTATGAATTTTCTATATCTATTTTTTGAAATCTAAATCGCAATCGAATGTTTACTAAATTAACAAATTGAAGGATAAAATAGATACTTTTATTTTAAATAACTACCAATAGCAATTTGTTTGTTTTTTCCCAACCGAATAAATTTGGAAAATTAAAACAATGAATTCGGTTTGTTTGCAACAAATTACAAATCACAATGAATAAAGAAAATGAAAATTTATTTAGAAAAAAGAGAGAAGAAATTTTTGCAAGACAATGCGATTCATATTTGAACAACGAAAACAAAATAAGATTAAAATTTTTATTTGGTTTCAATTTTTTTCTTCTTTTCAACATCTCCATATAGAAAACTAACTGAGACAACAAATAATTTTATCATGAATGAATTTTTTTTTTCAAAACTTTTATCCCGAGGGCTATCACCAAGAATTCATTGTTTGAATTCATAATCTTCTAGCCTTTTTGTGTTTCTTTAGCTTTTTACCACTTTTCCTCTGTATATATGACGATTGCCTTTCAGTCAAAAAAAAAGAAGAAAAAACTGATCAACCAAACATCAAGCTGATTGAAGCAAAAAAAAAGAAAAAAATTCTGCCTGTAATTCGTAATCATCTTGTATCGATTATTATTATTATTATTGGTCAAATTGTTATTTTCGATCAATGATTATGATGATGATGATGCTATTGAGAATTAATCAAAGACACACATATATTTTTATAAAACACGAATCAAAATGCATTGTACAGCAAAAAATTCTTGCTATATTCAGGATATAAAGAGTGAATTGAAAAAAATCGAACAAAAAATAAACCATCCACATTACCAAAAACATCGACCAAAAAAACAAAAACAAAACACAAAAATTAATTTGATTCAATTTGATGAGATTGGCTTTTTTTTGCTGTTGTTTGGTTTAATTTAACTCTTGTTCTCATTTTTGTTTTGTTGGTTTGAATCAATCGATTATTTTCAAATATATATCCATCGAATGGATCGATTTTTTCTTGTTAAAGCTGGTTACGAACGGGAAAAAAATCTACAATCCTTTAATGTTCGGTTATTGATGATCATCAATAAAATAACTTAATAAATTGACAATCGACAAATATTGCCATTTTTGTATTAATTTTGTTCATTTCATTTTTTGATTCCCCGATCCCGTTCATAATATGTCAATGATCGCATGAATTTTGTTTTTGTAAAAACTATCATCATCCTTGTTATTCATCATCAACATTATCAATAACAATAACAACAAAAAATTATTGAATAAATATATTTATTCACAATGTTTTAGTGATTCATTTTGTTTCGTCATCAAAATCAAATCAAATTAAAACACAATTTATGAAACATTTTGAAATTTCGATTGTGAAAGAGATAATTCTTTCATTTTTTTGTCTAACCAAATCAATTTCAACAAAGAAAAAATCATTATTTGTCATCAATACTACAAACACAAAGTTTAAGTTTAGATGATGATTATATTCGTGAAATTATTATGAAAATAATATGATAAGCTATCGACTAATATTGGATGATTATACATTTGTATTCGATAATCTTGTTTAGTACGAAAATCAAGTTATTAACAGATTTTTGTCTTGTAAAAGTAGATACCAATTTTTTTTACGATTAATTCAATGAATTTAAATGTAATTTTATTTTTATCATTTGTTCACTGATTTCATTCATAAACACATGTTATACAAGTACGAATTTCTTTTAATTCTACAATTCAAATTACAAAGTAATTTTTTCAATTTATATCAGCATTCTGGTTCATTTCATTTTCATTATGATTATAACTATGAATTAGCTTGTGATTATCATCATCATTGATTTTGTTGCTATTGTCGTTGATAATACATTGTAATCCATGTTTTGTAGCCCATGTTTTAGCCAATTTCCATTCACGAAAACGTCGTGCACGCCATAATGGCAATCGTTCAATATAAAATTTAAGCCAAAATTTTTTCTCCATTGCTATCGGGCCATTCTTATCAAATAACATTGGTGATTTTGTTAAATCTGATGCTGTTGTTTGTTTGTGGCAAGATTTTTGTCTTCGAAACAATATCGGTTCATTTGATCCATATTTTTGACAATAATTTTCAAATAATGATCGATCTCCATACAATTCATGATAACAATTTCTTGTTAAATTCCATTCAACTAACCAACGATATATTTTTGTATTCAGTACGGCCAATTTATTATGATTATTGGATCCATCTTTTGCTAATTTCTCACGAAAATGATAATAATCCTTTTTGATTGATAAAATAAACAGAATAAATGATGCCAAAACTAATATGGCTAGTATTATAATGATAATATCTTTTCTTTTATCACTATTCATTTTTCAAAACAAAAATTTTTTGAATGATGCTAATTTCATTATGTGAGCTCTATGTCATCTGATTTTTTTTTGTTTCTATTGAAAAATGTTAATATTAATTTCAAATAATTATTTACATTATTCATGAATGGATACATCATCATCATCATCATCAACTATCATTCATCGTTTTGAACATTTCATCTGTGTGTATGTATGTATGTCGTTTGAAAGCCAGAAATGAAAATTCGAAAAAAACGGAACTTTTTACCATAATAACATTTAGAAGATAAATGAATATTTGGAATTATAGTACAATTTATCATTGATGTGTTTTCTTTTTTCTATTTGTTGTTTTAATTTGAATTAAAGTAAATAACTGAATTACAACAAAAAAAGAAGAAAGGGAAACTCAAATGAATTTAATTCGTTTGAACTTTTTTTTCACTATTTCTCTTTCCCCATCTTTTTTCTTTTTCTATGCCATGAACAAGAAGAAAAAAAGGAAAAAACATTTGATAAACAATGAAAAGATGATGAATGTGGTTTGGAATTCAAAGGATTAAAACAAAACAAAAAAAAACGAAAATTCTGTCGTTTGTGGGTGGGTGAATATTTGTGTTTGACTCAGACATACAATATTCATTAATTCTATTAACAAAAAAAAGGGATATATTAAATATGATAAATTCATTTTTGAGCAAGATTCGATTCTCGAAAAAATTCTAGTTATTTTCAATAGAATAATTTTAAAGACAATGTGATGATGATGATGATGGTAAATTTTAATTATATTATAAAATTTTAACTGAATATATTTCTTCATTTTCTTTATTCAAAATCCTTTGGGTTGGGATTTTGTTTTCAAATAAAATAATTTTATAAGTATTAATATATCTTGATTTACAACTATGGCTAATTTTATTTCTTCATTTTTTATATTTTATTTTTTCTCAATAGATTCACAACCATTTCCTGTTTTAGTTATATTACATGGTGAATCATATGATTGGCATTCCGGAAACGTATTTGATGGATCCATATTGGCTTCATATGGACAAGTGATAGTCGTCACTGTCAATTTTCGTCTAGGGATTCTAGGTCAGTGTTTTTTGTTTGTTTCATATATTCAAAACAAGAAAAAAGATTAATTTAAACCAATAAATAAGACATCAATGTGTATTATTCAATGACCAGTATAAACCACCATCATTTCTTTCATAGATGTTGATTCATTTAATTTGCTTTGGCTATCATCATCATTTGTTTTGTCTTCAACCCATAATCGTCTGTTGATGTTGTTGATGAAAAAATTTCCAAGATACGGCCTCAAAGAGCTTTTAAGAAAATTGTCTTTTTTTTCTTGACTTTCCATCATCATGATTCGATGCTGACCATTTTTTTGTTCATTCAAACCAAAATTCACATAAACCAATCGGTCTCTATCAGTGTGTATATGAACCCACATTCATTCTTAAACTTGGGTATTGAAAAGAATTTTTTTTCAAAACTATCTCCATAAAATAAGAGAAAACAGAACAAAAGCAACCAATCAAAACTGATGATGATGATGGTCGATTCTTATTGTTAACTCAAATGATTCTGAACAAATGATGATGATCCTAATTCATCATCATCATCAACATTAAAAATTTGAACAAACAATTTTGGTTCTGGATATAAATATAAAGGCCATAATTTTTTTTCTTGGCTATAGAAATAATAATCATTATCATTATTCGTTTTGAACAAAATGGGCAAAAAAGTTATTAAATTTGACCAAAGATTAGTGAATTAAAAATCCTTTCAAATTGAACAATTTCTTATTCATTATTTCAATGTAAAGAAATGAATCAGTTTCTAAATTCCTATCAAATTTCTTTCACTATTTATAGTAATAATTTTTATTTTGATACTGATTTCATACAGACACACACACACACATACGATTCTGTAAATGAATTCAAACAAAGTTTTCTTTAACGAAAATAGCAAAAAAAAGTTTCAAATTTCAAATTTCTATTTTCACTTTTGTTCTTTTTTCCAATATTATTATTATTATTAGAATTGGTCACAATAAATGTGTAATGATCTTGTTCTAGTCGAATGAATCACGTCAAAATTCGATTCAAACATTTTGATTCGATTATTTGAATCTCGAATTCGTGAATTGAAGATATCACTATAGTCAGAGATAAAAGTCAACCGAACAAGAATGAAAACCAGAGTGGTAAGATATCTAGGGCAAGTAGGAATGAAATTTCAAAAAAATTAAAGAAAAGTTTTTTTACTATTCAATTCAATTGGTAAGCTCAAGATGATTTTAAAGGTGTCGGTTGCATTGTAATTTACAATTATAATCATATACAAAATATACAGCAATTGAACTTTTTTTGTGATTCAATCTACATACACCATATACAATTAATCTAAACTGTAGCCAATGTTAGAAACAATTTCTATCAATTCTTCATCATAATTTGTTCATTATTGAAAAATCAATAAAACAATTAATGTTTTTTTGAGTGGCCGTAAAATATTATTTGATTATATTCTGAATGCGCATGTTCAAATCGAAATCAAAAAGAAAAATTTCTATGAGTGTTTGAAGAATAATGAATTCGGTTTCTTTCCCCAGATACAGTCATCCTTTGCTATATCAATACTGTTTGATATTTATTGAAATTATTTTACAGTGTTATACGAAAAACTACTATAAACATGAAAAAAAATTAACAATGAAAATAAATCCTTAAAACAATCATACATTCAAATATTGACAGAATTTTTCTTTTGTAGCTGATGATTATGATTCTGTTTTTTGTTTAATTAGTTTGTTTTTTGGATTTAAAGTATTTTATTTTGACAATCTATCAGTATCTAATAATGATATAAATTTATTAAAATTCATTGTCTTTGTATTTAATAGTGGTCAAATTCTTTGGTTACATTTTTCATCATAATTTTGTTTCTATTATTTATGTACAGGATTTCTTCCCGCTTTCACTGATGGTACTATTCGTGGAAATTATGGCCTGATGGATCAAGTAGCTGCATTACATTGGATACAGGAAAATATTGGTGAATTTGGTGGCCAACCATCTAATGTAACATTGATTGGACATGGTCATGGTGGTGCATTTGCTCATCTATTGATGTTATCACCAATGGCAAAAGGTAGGTCCAAATTACCCAAAAATGTTTTCTCAAATCACATCTCATCCAATTAGTCAATATACAAAACAAAAATAAATGTATTTTTAAATTTTTGTTTTTTCACTTTTAATAATGTTTGTAATGATGTCTAATGATGAAAATAAAAAATTCAATGATAATACTATTCAGATTGTTTGCGACAAAAGCGAAACATAAATAGAAAAAAGAAAAGAATAAAGTTTTTCTGCACTTTTTGTGTATAGAAATTAAATAAATTCTTATACAATGAATCAAAAGTTGAATCATGATTCATAATTCAATTGAATTCAATTCAATTCAATTCAATACAAAAAAATTATTCGCAATTGCAATTGCAAATTCCTGGTAGATTGTACTCTATAGCCTAACATCGTTACACATATATCTGGTTCATCATCATAAAGAATTTCAAAGAATTTTCTTTTCTCTTTTATTCTGTTGAAAGTCTTTAATACCAGAATAAAGTGAATATGAAATCAATGGCTTTTTATCTTATTTTTACGCTTTGATAAGTTCTTTTTTTCTACTTTCTATTTTGTTTTGTACACGATTGCAATTCTTCTATTTACCACAAATTTTGTTGTTGTTGTTGTTCATCACGCGCCTAAATTATCAAATAACATCAAAAAAATATTTCAATAGAATAAATTTTTGTTTTCTTTTCAATGAAGAGAAAATAAAAATTTCGATATTTTTTTGAATTGTCCTTTAGTTTTCGGTAAATTAAGATCTGTATATACACACACACTATGGATATTTTCGTATATCGATAGATTGTATCAAATTTAAGGAAATGAATTATTTTTACTAAAAATAGAAAAAATTTGGTATCATAAACGGGTATAGTTTTGTTTGTTTGTTTACTCTGAAATCGATTGAAATTTCTATTCAGTTTTTTATTTATTTTTCTTCTGAATTCAAAAATTCATAACTGAATTTATTTGAAAGATTATCATATGATTAGAAAAAAAATTTCTTTTCTTTTGAATTTTGATTTTTTTCTTTTTTGTTTGTTTCATTCAACAAAATCGCAGGTTTATTCAACCGAGTGATATTGATGAGCGGTTCAGCATTGAGTCCATGGGCAATAGCACGAGATCCCGAACATTATGCTCGTGAATTGGGTCGCAAACTAAACTGTACCGATTTGGTAAGTGAAATTTTTTTTCTAGATAGATAGCCATTTTTTGATTCGTTTACAATGTTTTGATTAGCGATATGGAACAAATGTTTTCTTTTTCTATTTGTATGAACAATTTTTTTTGCTGATTGTCTGCTTATTCCAAACAGCAGGATGCTAAATCTCTATATTTGAAAGTCTTAGTTTCCTGTTGATTTTTCAATAACCACAAAAAAATCAATAGCAAAAAATTCTTTGAAATTTATTCGATATTGGTCAATTAATAAAATCAGTATCGATAATAAATTTAGACATTTTTGTTTCTGACATTAAAGATTTTTGTTTTTGTTTTGGTCTTGTTATAATTATCTCTTCATCATCGATTCGATAATAATAATAATAATAATCAGTGTTTTTTTCAAATATTTATTAGGATCGGTCATATTTCTATTTATTGTTGTTGTTGATTTTTGTCTACTATAGTTTGATGGCCAATTTAGCCATCAATCGTAAGTAGACAATTTCTGTTTTTGAGAGCTTATTATTTTCCATATGATGATTTTGAAAAAAAAACAGTAATTTTATTGAAGATGATAACTTTTTATTTTATTTTTTTTTCATCCGAGGAATTTTGTATTTGAAAAAAAAGGAAAAAGGAATTCATGAATTTCATATTAATTGTATTGAATGGTCATAAATTGGATGATCAATCAAATACACACAATTTATTTTTGGTCTGAGGTTTTATGATTATTAATCGAAATCTAATATTAATAATAATTGACCGATGTGAACTGAATTTAGTAGTTATATGAATGTACATCTAAGTTATTTATCGAATAATATTAATTTTTTTCTTTGATCATTTTTTTTGTTATTTTGGTCATTTATGTTTAATGATGTGTAGGATACGATGATCGATTGTCTACGTACAAAAAAAATTAGTCATTTAATTGCTCAATATGAAAATATTTCACCCGAATATTTAACCGCATTCGGTCCAATAATCGATTCGATTGTTGTGCCTTTTGATCCGGTTCATATCTATCATTATCATCAACATCATAATGATCAACTTTATCATTCATCATCGCCCTCATCATCTTCATCATCATCATCATTGGAACGAGCTACGAATTCTAATAAAGAACGTACACATTTTGATCCATTAGCATTGGCCCGATCATATGATCTAATGATTGGTGTTACTGATGTCGATTCACCATGTTTATTTTCCGATCATGAATCTATCTATGGCGTTGAACCAGATCGCCGTGATCGTATACTTCGTACACTTGTACGTAATCTTTATGATTATCATCAACAAGTAAGTTATTTTTTCACTCAGTAATAGAAAAAAATTTGATACCCATTTTTTCGAAATTCAGGCTATATTTTTAATTTTATACAATGAATATTCATCATGGAATGCTGCCACAACTCCTATATCATATTCATCATCATCATCATCAACTTTATCGAATTTAAAAACAACTAAACGATCATTCGATATACTTGATTCGGCTAAATCCATACTGAGCGATGCATTAGTATTTGCTCCATTGGTTCGTACGGCTGATTTACACTCGAATGAATCATGGTCTTCAACATCATCATCACAAAAATCACCTTTTGGTGGCCGTTTATTTTTTTACTATTTTGATACAAATGTAATAAAATAAAATGAAATTTAAATTAATAACAATAAGTTTACCTGTTTTTATTTTGTTTTTTTTCTCGGCTCTATGAACAAATCAAATCAAAATGTTGGACATGAAAAAATAACAACAGCAAGTGAGCCAAGAATCATTGTTCAATGAAAACCGTATTTCGTCGACATCATCATCGTCATCTCCTTTTTCTCAGTCGACCGATCAATTACATTTGTCATCATCGAAACGAATTGTCTGTTCTATTGGACATGATTTAGCCTTTTTATTTGGAGATCCGATTGCTCAACTACAATTCGGCCTCAATAATCAAGTTGGTCCATTCTATTATCCGGTCAATTTGACACAAACACATCAAATTGTATCAGAATTATTCATACAATATATTGTCAACTTTGCTCGTTATGGGTTTGTATTATGGGATTTTTTCCATTAACTTTTTGATTTAATTATTTCGATTTTGTGTTCAGGGAACCGAATGCGCGACCATCACATTTTACAATGACATCATCTTCATCATCCTCTAGTCGACAACAATCAAAAATCAAAACTGCACTTACTCATCGACATTTTTGGCCTCGATATGATCTGGAACAGAAAAATTATCTATTATTAGGATCAACTGGTCCAAAACCAATGGATCATCGTCAAAATCATCGTCTTTCTTTATGGCTTAATCTTATACCACGATTGTTGATTGATGATCAAGATTTTTATCAGACGAATTTTGGTGCCAATCTCACGAATAATAATGAATCATTCGATCCAAACAATCCCCGTAATAACATTATGAGAACATCGTATAAATTGCCATCACGATTTTCGTATTATTCGCGAAATTTTCCCAATCATTATTATCGTCCAAATAATTCTTACCCAGGAAATGATCGTGTTATTAGTGAAACTTCCAAACATGTAGCCGGATCAATGGCTATGGCATCCGAACCATATTCTAGTCAACAACAACAACATGAAAAACAATTGTATCGACAACATCATCTTCTTGTTGATTACGATAATCCCAAATCCTATGATGGTATTGTTCGATCATTTTCAAATGATACAAACACCTTGAATAAAAATAATAACAATAATACGGATTCACTTAAATCAAACAATTCTCACAATTCATCAATTCTAGAGAATCATTCAGCTGTAACAGCAAATCTTTCATCAACATCCTCAATCAATCATAATTGGTATAATGTTACACATCATCCAATAAATTCAACGGAAATGCATGGTAGTGATGGAAATCGTTTGTTGCATACACGCTATGATGATTCTGGCATGGGAATCGGTCATCCAATGTATTATGGACCAGTCCCGGATGGTTCGGTATCCTGGTGGCTAATTATGATAGGCACTGCTTGCGCCATATTATTCTTTATTAATGTCATATTTTTTATCGCACTTTTTTATCAATTAAAAAAGAATCGTAAAGTACAGAAAAATCCAAAATCAAATAACGAAAATAAAAACGTTGAGGTATTGATTTGATCATTTATTGAAATATAATTAATTCATCTTTTTTTTCTAATTGTTTATAGATAAATAATATACAATCAAAATGCAACTTGTCTGGTGATCAATCACCCAACTTATCGACAATGTTTGGCAATAAATGTGGAAATGAATATCGTGAATCAACTCGAGCCGATCAAAATTTAGATGATAATCTTATGATACTACATACGACAAGCAATAATAATAATACTTTTAATCGTAAGAAATCAAATAATATGAATGATTTCTCATACAGCATGTATCCGACACCTGGTGATCATAGACAGCCAATAAGCTTTGAATTAACTCCTTCGGATATAACAACAGCCACTACAACAACATCAACGAATACAATCGGTAAACGTACAAAAACATTATCGTTTGCACATCAAGGACCTGTTACATCCGGATTAAATGATCATCATACGACAATTCTTTTGAATCATAATTCAGACAATATAGATGGAGGTACGGTTGCTACCGGAAATTATGTGCCTTTTTTAACTGCAACCAATACGAATCCAACAACATTATCATCAACTCATCCACAACAAGCCACTTATTATTGCCTTCAAGTTAATGCAACAAATCATTCGAATTCTGGAAATGATGGCAGTGATTATGGCGATCAAATGATTGATGATGGCACCACAAATACAATTGAAATGCAATCCCAGCAGCCATCATCGACATCAAATACTGGATACCATGAAATGTCTTTGTAAAAATCATTATTTAGTTTTAACAAGTTTTTTACCTGTAATTGTTAAAGTTTTATTCCGAATTTTTAAAAAAATTGAATAAAAATCCATTTTCAATTGTTTAAAGAGATGATAAATTATTCCTTGTTATGAAATGTAACAAAATAGAGAAAATTTAAATATCAATCAGATGCTCTTGAATCGAGTTTGATGATATTTTCAATTTAGAGGTTATTATTCGAATGAAATTATCATTTTCAAATTTTTTTTAAATTTCGTGTTACGTCGTTGATGAACAGCATGTAAAATTGAGTTTAAAATGTATACATGCACCTGTTATGGTACAATACAACGTACATTGCTGTGCTTACGTGTTCAATAAAAAAAATTTGTTTTTTTTCAATTTTTTATTGATTTGATCGATGCTGGTCTTCATATTTTGTTGATGATTTGTAACTTTATTGAATAAAAAGATCAAGGAAATTGACAGCCAATATTCATAAAATATTGGATATTTCACTCTATTCTATTCGAAAAAAATTTATTCCTGTGATTCCTGTAATAATGAACAATTTCATACAACCGAATCGTAAACAAGAATTCTTTTCCAAAGCCGAAGATTTTGCGGATGAGGTAATAATGTTCTTTTAAAAAAGACAATATTCATATTTTGATTACATTTTTTAGTTTCTTCGTCGCTCAAAAACGATATTACCGACCGTCGCTCGTGCATGTCTTGTGTCAACATTCATCGAGGATGGTTTTCGTATGTGGGTTCAATGGTCAGAACAACGTGATTACATGAATGCACAATGGCATTGTGGTTATTTTCTTGCAACATTATTTGTCATAATCAATATGTTAGGTCAACTAGCCGGATCAGGCTTGGTGTTGACCCGATTCTATGTTCAAGCAGCTTGTTCCACATTGTTCGGAATTGTTGTTTTACAAACATTCGCATATTCAATACTATGGGATCTTAAGTTTTTGATGCGTAATATGTCATTATGTGGTGCTTTACTTTTATTATTGGCAGAATCACGTGCCGAAGGACGATCAATGTTTGCCGGTGTACCATCGTTAGGTGAAAATAAACCAAAAACTTATATGCAATTATTGGGACGAATTTTGGTCGTTTTCATGTTCGTCACCGTCTTACATTTTGATATGCATCCATTAATTGTTTTACAGAATATCATTGCAATTATTTTAATGGGAGCAGTGACGGTTGGTTTTAAAACAAAACTTAGTTCACTTATACTTGTATTGTGGCTAACAGTTTTAAATTTTTATTCAAATGCATTTTGGACCATCGAATCATATAGACCCATGCATGATTTTCTCAAATATGATTTTTTTCAAACCTTATCAGTAATTGGTGGCCTACTGATGATTGTTTTACTTGGTCCTGGAGGTATTTCTATTGATAATCATAAAAAAGATTGGTAATATACCGTGCCAATAATAAAAATGTCAATCAAGTTTTTTCCCTAAACAAAAATTATTGGACATAAACCGATTGAATAAAACCAAATATTGAAAATAGAATGTACCCATTTCTTTAATCGTTATTCGGTCTTTGATGACAATCAATACCACCATTATGATAAAAATCGATAACTATCTTTATCATTAAACAATTCCGACAACACCAAGGATTTTGGAATGAATGGATATGTTGTGTATATGTGTGCAAACATCTTATATTTTTGTAATTTATTTCATTTTTCTATTATTGAGGATTTTAAAAAAATAAATAAAATGAATTTCAAATTAGTAATTGTTCTCAGCTATAGATGGCGCCGTTGAATTCGGATTATGTTTGATTTTAAAAGTTTTTCTTATCTTTTTATCTAATCACTCATTGAAGATTGATAAATTTTTTTCAATCATTAATTCATCTGAATACACAAAAAATAAATTTTTGTATGAAATTATATGATTTTTAATAGCTAATTCGAAATATAAAAGTTTTTTTCTCGTCAATGGCCCTATTAAAAACTGTAACAAATGTCAACATTAGTTTTTGCTTATTATAAATAGCGAGCCTTGCATGCATTTATGTTGTCCGGTGTCGGCCGGACATATACTAAAATTGGAACGATACAGAGAAGATTAGCATGGCCCCTGCGCAAGGATGACACGCAAAATCGTGAAGCGTTCCAAATTTTTTTTGGCATTTTAATTCAAATTTTGTTTCCAATTCTAAACAATAGATGTCGTAGAAATTCAAATTCAATTTTACAATTGTGAATAATTTTTTTCTTTCGTTGTCTGTAAACTTCATCAATCAAATGTGCAACTAAGCGAAATGGAAATTATTCAAACCGGAAAAAGGCCGACAATTTAACTATGAGAACAATATAGCAACAGCTCATGACAGAAAACATAACGTCATTTGTATACTCAAGGAGATATGCAATATTAGTAATTATCATTATGACAATAATAACCAAATGGACATTATATTTATTAGAGATTCACTGGGTGAACATGATATCATCACCTATGTATTTGTTATCGGTATACTCTTGATGTTTGGGCAAATATTTGTTGATACGTTGAACTCAATGTGTTGTAATAATTAAAAAATAAAATTTCTACATATTAATTCAAATAAAATATCAAATAGTTTGTAAAACAGGAAAAAGAAATGCCAAGATCAAAATAATCTTATTTCTTTTTCTTTTTACTGAGGCATATGAGTCCCAATTTTTTGATTGTAGATTTACTTTAACATTAACATTAGTGTTTTGAGTATGCTGCAAACATAATGAAGCGAAAACAATGATGATAACAGCTTAAAAACAGCATTAAATAATCCACATTTAAACCTGAATCAATTGCAAATAGTTTAAATTTCAGGGATATAGTGAGTGGATCATAAAACATAAAAATCACTTTGGTTGAATGGATTTCAATAAACTTCCGTTTATAATTGTGATATTTAATGAGATATTTAGATTTAACAAAATAGATTTCATTTTTGTTGGAACCGAACAATATGGATGAATGAATGAAAAAAAAAACGAAATTCTGACCTTGATTCATCAAGATTCAAAATAATAGTAAAACTGTAGAACAAAACAAAAAAAAAATGATACAACACCATCAAATTAATGATTGTAGTCTTCATTCAATTGTGATTCAATGGCTCATTACCTTGATTATTATTATGATGATGATGATTGAAAATTGGATTCATCAACATTGACAATTTTGTTTACTTATGATTATTAACCTGTTATTCTGATGTCTGAGGATCGACAAACATTAATTGATTGTCATCATCATCTTAATAATAATGACAACTGGGCAATCGATTAGTGTCACCATCAAATGAATGGATTATTATTACCTGTTGTCATTGTTCTAATTGTACAATTATACTTCATTGCCATCATCATCATTGTTGACAATTATAATAGGTTAGTGTCACACATACATACAAACATGACAAATGTTTCCAGTTTAATTGACTATTCATTCATTTTTGTTTGTTTGAATTTTCATGACTCCTATTTTTGTTGAAAATAAAGAATTTCAAAAGGCATCGATTTGATTAGCTCGACCTAGCCCAAATTTTTCCATTTGATTGAATCCACATGGATTCAGTTGATGAACGATCAACAAAACAAAATGGTCATGGCTCGATTCTCATCAAGTGATTTACCGCAATCGTGACGAAATGTTTTGGAAGTTAGAAAAGGATGATCGAATCCAACAAAGATAGAAATATGTCAAAACAGGGCATTTTTGTAGTAGTGGTCATAACAGTTGCAAAATCTATATCAAGGATTTCCCGCCATCGCATATATACACTTATCACAGTTATATTATTAATGTTTCATAATAGAATGCTACTACTGTTAATAATAATATCCTGTATGTGTAAATCACTAACTTTACAACAAGTAAATTATCATTGAAATGTAGCGGTAAATTTAATTTGAAAGGTATTATCCAAGAAGAAGTAGCATTATAATTAGTTATAGGATTCATCGAATTTATGACGCCAGGCGTCAGACATGCTTATAATGGATATAGCTCATGGCATAAGCAGACATTCTCGTAAAAAGCTATTCATTCATTCATTCATTCAGTCATCCATTCCAAGTCTATCCACACACTGTAATTGGAACTCAAACTTCAAAAAACAAGCCCCATCATCCTCATCATCAATATATGATTACATCGAATCTTTGAAAGCTTTAAAGTGGCTCATTCATTTAACTACACACGCACAGATGTCCGTCTGATGAACAATCATCGAAAACTGAATTAACGATCCGATATCAGCAATAATAATCTCCAATAAGCAACAGCCCAACAAACATTTGAACAAGACATTTACAACTGCCAGCTAAAATTTCGATTTATTATCGAAATTACAATTTTTCGTTGTTGTTGTTTTCTTCACACACAAATTTATTCCGACCCAAACTACCATCAACATCAGCAGCCATCACATTATCTCCAAGTGCAATCTTTAAACATCATCTTCGTCCATTATTGGATGCGTCGGCTGCCTTTCTATATCATTATGTTATAAGTTGTGTGATCTGAATTGATGTGATGTGATGTGATCTGCCAAATCTGTAGGCTGTTAGGATTCACTTTTGGTTGGTCTGGCTCCATTCGACTCTCATTGGGAGCAATGATGATTATAACTGAAATGGATGTGAATGTAATGGCTAATATTACTAAAAATTATAAGTGCTATGTGCGTGTGTCTATATTTTGAGTACGTGCTTGAATGATTTGAGGTTCGAATGATGGAAAACACATTAAACTGGATAGTTTTCCTTTACCAATCAACAAATTTTTGCCATTTTCAACATTCAAATCGAATAAATTGAATGATTTTTGAGTGTATATGTGTGTAATATATTTTAAATTCTATAAACGATTCTTCAGAATTGTTATGTGATTTGTTGTTGTTTTTTTCGCTCCTTATTCGTTTGTCAGCAATAATAGTAAACAGTCAAACACACCGACCGCATGATTGCATCATCGAAAATCTTTCTTCATTGATTTCATTGTCAGATTCAATATTGTTTTTTTTAAGAATTATTTCCCTTGTGATATCATATGGCAATCCTATTACTCTATTTATGATAACAAAATTGTCATCAATTCTATCATTATATTTAATTGATAATAGTTTTTTTCCAAATCTTTCTTTCAATTAATTATAAGTAAGTTTATCAATATTTGATCACCAATTAGAATATATTGATTGTGAAAAAAATTTTGGCATTCTCTCGAAACATTTGATCATTTTTTCTCTAAATTTATCTTTATTTTGTTGTTGAACTTTTTTCTTTTCATTTCAATAGAAAAAAAATAATTTATTAACAGCTTAATGGATTATCCGATCTTTATACTTTTCTAAAATTTCATGACTAAATAGATTTTATCATGTTTGAAACATGTTCATGATAATCATTTATAATGATAATGATCCTTATCATTTTAAATCATCCAATGATGAATGGCTTTATGTGTCTATTGAAGGTATTAATTAGTCGTAATTTTGGTTTTGAAACTTAAACTTCAATAATAATGATAATAAAAACATTGCCTATATATGTTACTTGTTGATATCAAAGTTTGATTATTTTACTGTCGGTCTGTCCTCGTCGACGACGACGTTGCCGTAATCTTTGTGTCTGTCTGTTATAATCATTTATGACAAGCTTATGTCACTAAAATATTATGAATAGTAAAGAACAACTGGCTAAAAATTCACGAAAGGATTTATTTTAGTGAGACCAGGCACACATCAATAATGTCATCCAATTTAAACACCAATTCATTCTTATTATATAGCTTAATCAGTTTTCAAATGTTCAAAAAAATCAATTTTTTTAAATCTGTTAACATTCTTTTGGCTCTAGGAAGTCTTCCGATATTTTTTTTGTGCCCAATGGGCTGTTTGGATCACAGTTGAAAAATGATTGATAACAATTGTATTATTGAGAGATGTTTATATTATTTCTACTGATAATAATATTCTTGGCACGTTCTACTTTTCTTCCATCATCATTTTTTTCTTTTGTTCTTTCATCATTAGATTTTATTCAATACAATTTTTGGTCTTGTTTAGCAATTTTTTTCCATTGATCTTTTATATAATACAATCTGTCAATTCTAGAATCAAGAATTGACATGTTCTATAATTGACATACTGAATTAACCCAGAATAATTGACAATTCAATCCACTCGATGATAACACACGTGATTCATATCATTTAGTATTTTAATATGACTAGCTAGAATTTTCAGTTGTTACCAACCAATCCTGAAATTTTTCGTCGTAATCGAATTGAATTTAACAATGCATTTAGAATCTATAAATCCTTTGTAATTTTTTAACAATATATGATACTGATTATAATTTGTTTGAGACCATCTAAACTAATGACATGTTTGATTAAACATACATTTATACAAAAAGAGTATGTAATATGTCAACAACAGCAATAATGTGAAATATTTAGCTTTGTTATCAAGTCTATTCATTTGATGTCATTTCCATTTGTTTTATAAGAGTAAATGTACCTCTTTCACACATCGACAATATTGTCAACTTGAACGTATGGCCCATCATCATGCTGGTTGTCTAATATTGCCTGTATATTCTATTTTTCCCTTGATATATACCGATGACATCCAGACATTTTACAATACGACATTTACATCATTTATCCATTGGTATCGCTTGTCCTATTTGTTTGATTGTCCATTTAATGCATAACAAAAAGCATTCAGCCAAACCAACCTATCTTTAAATTTTTGTCTGTTTTGTGTTACGTTTATGGCCAGTACTTCAGCCTGTCATGGTCGGTTGGCTGATTTTAATGCGGGCGCCATATGTTAGTCCGCTCCATATCAATGATATTGCATTACAATCATCAATTTTTTCTCTTTGTTGTTATTGTTGGATTTAGGATTGTTAATGTTGCTGCATGTATTAGATATGAATGCCAATAACAGCATGTTGGCTGACAATGGTGACAATGTTCATTTAGGGCTAACTCAACTATGATGATTATTAGATAGACAGATAGCGCCTGGCCTAGTCTTGTCGGCCTGTTTGGTGCCCACCATTTCCATCATCATCATGGCCACCATTTACGATCACGATCGCATACACATACATGCACACACGTTAATATGTTGAAGCTCTTCTTTTCCGAAAATGAATGCCTTGTTCACTACTAGAACTAATAATACTTAGACAATATAAATGCTCCAAATGGAACTGCCAACAAACTGACATGTGAAAATATACAAAACCCGGGCTCTTGTACTCAAATTCGCATGTTCATTCAATATGTGTTCGCTGTAGTGTTTATTTGAACACTTTAGAGTACTGAAACCAATTCGGTTGTTAGTCCAAATGGTGTCCTTCGTTTTGTATGTGTGTTCCGACTCAACACCATTAGCTTGTTAAAACATTTTTGTTTTGTTGTTTATTTTGTCCAAAGGTGGTGGCAAGAAAAGTTTTGTATTCCATTCTGACATCGTCAATTGGGATCGATTGTCTGTCTGTTAGTGCATGTTTTTTATTTCATTCACCAATTCAGTTTGCCTGAAGTTTTTTTTGTTTAGTTTGTTGAAAATTTTATCGGGTTTAATGAAATACATTATTATACATGACATTAATATAGACTGATACATAGCTGAAATGAAAAGCAGAATAACCGAGTGATATGCGATCACTGTTTAAAAAGTCAATTTAGATGGACAAACAAACGAACAAAAAACTGCAAGCTGTCGTATAATTATTATAAAGTTTACAGTCAAAATTTTTTTTTCTGGTAACTTGGTATAAAGTCGTTAGAATAATTTGAAACTAAACTAATTCATCATCAGAATTGTCGTAGAATTGTTTTTTTTCTTCTATGCAACATTGTTTTATCTTTATTAGAGCTTTTCGATCTCACTGCCATTATCTGTCGAATTGTGAACGATTCTTCAAATTTTAAATTTTTGAATTACGAAGAAAAATTGAATTCGTTGAAGCTGTTTTTTATTGTCAATTTTGAGAATTTATTGCGAAATTATTATGATAACAGTCCAATTTATTTGTGTTGTATGAATAATGTATAACAAGTCAATAAATAACATAGATTGATTATCAGATCGAATATTTTTAAATCTATTGATTTGTTGTCAATTATTGATACATTGAATACATTGATAATGAATGTTGTATAGATGATGATAATGATGTTTTTGTTTAGTCTTTTTTTCGAAGGATAAAATCCGGATACAAACAACTCTGCTGCTACTGCCATTTCGGATACGCTTGAAGCATTTTTTTTCCTATTCATTTGCTTGTATAGATTATTGTTTGAATGTCATATGCAGCCAACAATATATTGATTCAGGCGCTTTTTTTGCTTGATAAGTTTACCAAATTAGTATATTATTAACAACATTATACGATTCGTTGCTTGGATGAAGATGACAAAAATGATCATACACACCTCAAAAAATGTGAGACCATTTTTTATCCATATACTCATTTTGGTTCAATTTTTATTTTTGAATCATAATTTTTACTGTACATTATAAGAATTGAGAAATTCAGTCGGATTCAATTTAATTGGATCCGATTCTGTTACATCAATACATTTTACTTGAATAATTACACTTATACAATGTATGTTGTTGTTTTAAACAGAATTTTTTTACCAAATTCCATATCTGTCAATTTCTATTGTCATAGTGATATTCTTTGATTTTCATTTTTAAATAGACTTAAATCCATCATAATGATGATTATCACGCCATGGCTGTTGCACGTTTTTGTTGATTCTCTTGCTTTTATTGGTCTCATAATCATCATAATCATCATTTAACTTTGATTTTCATTTTTAGTTTTCCTTTCCCTTTTACGATCAATGATCGAAATAGTCAAAAAAAAAACAAAAATTCCAACCACTGTGCGACACTGAGTATTTGAGTATACATATAAAATGATAGTTGTAATCATATAGTAGTAATATCCTTATTTTTTTCCTTTTCAATCATTTTTTTCGCTTGCCGTCACCAAACGCCATAATGGTGATGGCGATCCTCGAATGAAAATCATCGACTAACTAGTTTTTTTTTCTCTTTTTTTCATATGTCCCTGTTTTTTTCATCTTTCCTGATCGTTTCGTCAATCATAATACTATAATCATCAACATCAACATCACCGTTGTTATTATCGTCCTAGAACATGAACAAATATAATGCTGTATCCACTTGTTGATTCCTAAAGAGAGAGAGACATGACGCAAACAGCACGTATAAATCATCATCTTATTGAATAGCCATTCAATTTAGTGACAAAAAGAAAAGTAAACGTAAATTTGCCATCAATCAGACGAACAAGATACTTAAAGCATTCAAACCATCATATCTTTGAATGAAAATCATCTATTTGTTATTGCCAATATTGTTTATGTAATGACAGCATCTATTCTTATGATGATTTTTTAAAAATGTTTGATGATTACCGGAACGACCACAATCATTTTATTGAATCAATAATTTTCTTCTGTTTTGATATCAATTGATTCTATACAACAATGTTATTATCGTCAAGGATGTCCACTTAGATCATAAAAAATTGGATATTGAATTCGTGTTGGCAACATCATTGTCTGGTAATCATCGTTAATAAAGATGATAATGTTGTCATATTGTTATTGATGGTCATTGCCATTATTGTTGCTATTTTTGTTTTCGTGAAAAGATTTGTGTTCGTTTTTTTTATGTTTTTACTTAATCAAAAATCAAATTACAACAATGCGTACAAATTTGTCAAGCTCATCATCAAATGCTTGTACATTGTTAAACGGTAACACCAATTTCGGTGATGATAATTTCGGCAGAATAAGTTTATCATCTGGTTCATTATCCATGGATCCATTTTCACAAACAATGTCTGTACCAGCCAACTCAAATCTTTCATCCAATTTTCATAATTTACCTCCAATAACAATGATGGCGGATAATGTTCATCATCATTCGGTCAAGTTACGAAATTCTTCGATAAATTCTTGTTCTCATCATCCTTCTAATCATCAATTTCTCAATCAATCAATTCGATCTTCATTATCATCATCATCCTCATCCACATCATTATCATCACCATCTTCATCAATATTGAATAATGATCATGCCAATAATAATTATCATCATCAATCAAATCAATTTTCACAAGCATCCATTGCTGCAGCTGCTGCCCATTTAAGTCTATTTCAACAATATCAACAAAAGCAGCGACAACAAGTTACTAGTCCATCATTCAATGGAAAAAGTGATCCGTTTGTATCTCGAGCCAAAATGGCCAATGTCGATTCTAAATTCATAGACAATTCCCACTATTCAAAGACCAATGTGAATGCTAATTTTCCACAAGCACAAGCTCATATGAATACTGATGCTCATCAATGGATGAATGATTTGAATCCATTCCCTATTTCATCTCAATCTCAGTCTACATTGAATGAATTTATTGGTAATGATTTCCTTCCGCCTTCATCACTACTTTCCGATGAATACGATAATAATGATCTTTCGCCTTTACTTGATAATTTTAATCCGAATCTTTTATCAATAAACAACGGTGATACTTTGAATGAATTTCATTTGAATGTAGCAAATGATAATCTTACACATTCGAAAAATGGATCTAGATTGAACTCCATGCCCTATGAATCAGCATCTATTGGATCAGTTTCATCTGTCGATATATCCTCACCATATTCAGTACCACAGCCTACTTCGATCTCTTCAATGGCATCATCATCGACATCTTGTTCAAGGACATCTCCATCTTTTATATCAACATCCTCACATAAAACTACAAATAGTCACAGCCAAAAAACACATTTACCACCGACATTGATGAATAATGATAAATTTTCACCAGTGACCTCACCATTGACCAGTATCGGGACTATATCTGGCCTTTGTCCATCATCATCAACTTCTAGTTGTCCATCGACGCCTTATTCATTTGTTAAAACAAATACAACTACGCCACAAACACATTCACAATACGAATCATCGATGAAATCGTTCAACAATAATGTCGATAGTTCAGCACATTCATCTCTGGATACATCATCATCAATTAATCATATCAAACATGAAGAGACACCTTCAAATTCACCTTATTCGGTGCAGCAAACTTCTAACCTCAATCACGCGACAAACATATCCCAAAAATCTTTGTCGATTAAACATTCACCATCAACTGTAGATCTGCAATCATCTACAGAAGCGTGTATCGATCCATTCATGTCAATGTCCAGTAATAATAGTAACACAATTGTCGATGAATTTAATTTAAATGATGATAATTGTGAAAATCCTATGCATAACAATGATTTTTTCGATAATAATAATATGACAAAGTATAATACTACATCATCTGCACGTATGGAAAGACAGTTTAGTGGATTATCATCCTATCTGAATGAAATGGCGCAAATGACTTCTCGACAGGTCTCACCTATCATTCAACAACAACAGCGATCAACATCATCAATGGAAACATCATGTCAAGAATCAAACATCAATAGCCATGATAGGAATACCAGTCCGTCATGCGACTTCAGTGGATCTTATAATCCATTATCATCATTGGCAGCATCTAAATTGCCGTACGATTTTCATGCCAACAATAACAAATCCCAAGGCTCTTATAATAATCAATATTCACCATTATTAGATCCAAATTTAGTATTTGATCCAAAATTGGGTGAAATGCGTCAGCGTAAAAAACGTGGCCGACCGAAAAAACATTCAACTTCATCCAATTCATCACCGCAATCAACATTGAACAATTGGTTTAATCAATCTTCAACCGATCCTACAATGTCACAATCATTGTCATCATCAATGAGTTCAATGTATGATTGTTCATTGTCACCTGTAACGACATTGGCATCCAATCAACGACGTCTACACCATGATGGTGACAATAGATTTGATAACGAATCTCCGCCTCCTTTGTCGATGCAGCCTAAATTACAACCATTAACTCCTGGAAGTGATGAACTTAATTCATCCGTTCCGTTTTCGAGTAATTAATCGTCTTTTGTTTTGCTATTTCAAAAAGATTAATATCTTCTCTTTTTTTTGCAGGCAACACGAAATCTTTTGATCCATATGCATTTCCAGGTAATTCTAGTTCATTGTTGGATCAATGTCACCACATTCCAGATAACCATTACAATCATCAAGCTAGTCACTATCATCACCAGCAATCCTATTCTAATACGACAACTGGAATTGGCAAAAAACGTTCTCGTGGTCGACCTCGTTTAAATGAAGCTAACAACAATAGTAGTAACAAATCTACTTCCAGACATTCCATTTCAAAATCATTGATTCAATCATTATTGGCTAAATTGCCTTCTTCGGCATCTTTAATATCACGAATACCCTGTGTAGAACAATCTTTAATATCAACATCACCATCATCGGCCACAACAGTTATGAAACGTGGTCGTGGCCGTCCAAAATCTTTGAAAACTCTTCTCAAAGAAGCAGAAATGGCCGGTTTAGAAATTCCACCTGATGTAATCGATGCATTAATGACTAATCAACAACAACGTCAACGGGCCCGACATTCACAACAGCAAAAGCGCGAATCATTACATTACTATTCCGATCAACTTGATCATCATTCGATTCAAGATGATCATCATTTACTTTTACATTCCCGAAATCCACAACATCTGCCTCCTTCTTTCCAGCAACAATCATATTCTAATTCAAACCAAACTGAACACGGGTTTATTGCTCAACAAGATCAAATTCAATACAATATTTCTAGTCAACGGTCTGAACCTCGTTTTTCTTATCATCAATATCAATCTAAGCAGCATAAAGCACTACCATGGATGAATCAACAACAACAACCACAAACGACATTTCATTCATTATCAGACAACATGAATTCAGATAATTTTATTCATCATCAACAATCGATATCGGATGGAAAATTTCTTCATTCTGAAATCAACTCGCAACAACCTCGTGATCTACCTAATGTAGCCACTAGGAAACATATTTTGTATAATATCAACAACAATAACCATAATAATCATAATGATAATAAAGTTATTGAGCAATATGAAACTGAGATTGTTAAAAATCCATTCGACGATCTTGATGATTCAATGTCGCTACAATCATCATCAATGAATAATTTATCTATCAAATCGAATAATGATGTCAAAACGGTAGCGCCTATCCGTATTTCATTGACAAATAATTCACTGTTCCACTGTCCATCATCTACAGCTACACGATCTATTTTAGCACAACAAGAACAAGAATTACAATCACAATCTGCAAAACGAAAGCGTTCAAATTTTTCGGCTAATTTATTCAGTGATAATGATGATGAGGATGATGATACATATGATGATGATTCCAATGAAAGTATCTATTCTACACCATCTAGTTTCGAGGATGACGATGATGATGATGATACTCATGATGATGATAGAAATAAACGACGAAAACATCAAGATAATGATATTGATCAGTATTTTTCAGTGTCGAAATCTCCATTTAATACCAGTATTCAAACAGATATCTCCAGAAAATCAAATTATTCTCATAAACGTCAACAATATACGCTAACTGGAAAGCCAAAATTCACCGAATCAATAATGATGGATTGTCTGAATGCTTCTTTAATCGGTGATAAAGATAATGATGATGATGATGTCAATGATGAGTTATTAGATAATTTCAAATTCAATCACGCTGACTATGATGAAGAAGCATCAAAAAAATGTCATGAGATGCAAGAAGATACACCAAAATTACCTAAACTTCTACTCAAACGTTTAGATTCTGATGATAATGGTTTTAAAATTATTCAAAATTCTGGTGAAAATGAAAAAGAAATAGAAATCAATAATAACCCCGAATCTAAGTCGGAAACTGTAAAAAAGTTAACTATTCGTTTTTCTACAAATGGTGAAGCAAGAGTTGATCAAAACGGCAATAATAGCAATGAAATGACGTCCTGTTTAGAAAAGTCCATTTGTAATGAATTGGTCGAACAGATTTGTAGTTCAACAACTGAGAATACAGAAATTACTTTACCGAATATCAAATCTATTAATCAAATATCGGATGATAAAGATAATATCTGTTATCAACAAGCAACAAATTCCCCAGAAAACGCAATAACTAACGCTTTGATTGATGATTCTCAACAAGATGCTTTCGAAAATAATGAAATGAATAGTGCAACAGTCAAAGAAGTGACTTCTATTTTAAGTACAAATCCTGTGGATGAAAATCCATTATTTCGAACGCCATCACCACCTCCAGCATTTGATCGTTCAATCATAAATTTGGCCAATCATCCATCATCATCGATGGAATCGATACTACCAATAAATTGTTTGGATACCACAAAACTTATATCCGATAATGAACAATTTTCAGCTATTAATTCTATTATGAATCTTGATGATTTTGAACCTAACGAATCACCTTCACAAGAAATCGAAGTAAATCCATTGATTTCTAATCGATCTAATCTTGTGGATAATTTGAAAAATATTGAAAATGTGGGCAATTCAGATAATGTAGACTATGTGTTCGATCAAAATGATGGTAATATAGGAATTCAAGAACAACCGAAAACTGAACAGTCCACAGATAAACAAACAGAGAAATTTTTTGAGTCTAGCAAAAGTACCGAAATCGATACAACAACTGAATCATTTATTCAAGGCCAAGGTGGTCATAATGATAAAACAAAAAGCATAGAATCATCAATAGTTGATAATATTGTCAAAAATGTAGCCGATTCAAATGAACAAAATCTGCTTAATGTCGACAGCAAAGATTTGCTGAATAACGACATAGACATGAAAACGTTTTCACCTGATCTAGAAGAACCAAAACCACTATCTCCATATTCTTCACCCAAACACATTCAATCAACAGTGAATTCTGCTTTGATTACAAATACTACTACGAACATAGCCGCTACAGTCTCAATGCCCACCCCTATTCAATCAATTTCACATCATATTGATGAACTGCAAATCAATTCTTCAAATATTCAACTGCCACCTCAATTATTGCAATCAAATCTTTCATCCGTTAATCAAGTTATGGCGTCACAGACATCATCAAAGAGTCCTGTACCAAATTCAATTTACATTCAACAACAATCAGTTCCATCCAAAGGATTTCCTTTACAACAACAGCAACCTCAGCCTCATTTGCCAGTATTCCATTTTCCACCGAATTCAGCCATTCGATTGTTAGCTCCATCAGTTAGCCCTCAAATTCAACATTCGTCAACTGTTCATCCTCAGCACAATGTTCGTCCGGCTTTTCTATTCCAATCAGCCGAACAAAATTTAGGCTTTCATGCACCAACCCAACAGCCCCAATTTATGATTCGTGGCCCTTTCGCTCCACCACGTCATCAACCATCGTTTCAACCACCACAAATGATTAAAACACAAACGCCTAATGGTTCGACGATCAATCTTATTCTTTCTCATCCTAATACACCTAGTCCATGTTCATACACAGTTCGACCTCCTCCTTCTCAAGCTGGTACTGCATTATTAAATCCGGTTTTTTCTAATTCAATCAATCAACCGATGTTTATTCGTAATGGTCCTAGATTAATACCGGTTAATCCTGGTTTGATGAATACAATGCGAATGTTTGCACCTGGACAACCACATCGTCCTAATCCCCAAGCATTTTTCACTATGGCTGCACCCATATCATCATCTCAACATTTGATACAACAGCAACAAACGATTCGCCAACATCAACAGCAAGTCGCTTTTCAACAACATCGTCTGACTTCCACTCCGATATTTTTTTCCTCACCAATCACTAATCAAAAAGTCATTCTTGAAGCAAAACCATCAACAATGATCAAAGATGAATTGAATCCTTCTACTCGACAGCTACCTATCAAAGATATTCTTACTGAAGCAATGGAAGAGATCAGATTCGATGATATTGATGATCAGCCAGATAATAGCAACCAACAGCCTCAAGCACATTCAAAAATCATGAAAGTGAGCGATACTGTTCGATTGTCATCACCAGTAATCAATCCCAATAATTCTCATCCAACATTTATTAACCAAATGTCATCTGCAATGACATCGCAATCGTTGATTCGATCAACATCACAGGTTTGGATTTTTAATTATTTCATGATAAAAAATATTAATAATTTTTTTCCTTATTTAAGCCTGTCCAACGTCAATCAATAATGCAACCAACAATATTGGACTTCGTATCGAAGGATCCTAATAACCAATCACAACCTGAAGTGCAATTGACCAATGATGACCTGGATCGGCTTTTTGACGATCTAGATTCTAACACTAATGTTGACCATTTTGATCATGATGATTTTGGATTTTTAGAAGAAATTAGTCAATCAAATGAGTCAATCAACAAAAAACTTCAACAACCACAATCTAATTCAATTGAAAATGATATTCAAGAATCTTCTTTAGCTTTAGAATGTGAATGCCTTCAGATTATCAATGTTATCATTGATTCAATTGAATCACAAATCAACCAAAATAAACCTATGGTTGATGATACGAATATTCATTGTATTGTTGATGAAATTCTAGAAAAAATATCCGTTTCAGATCAAGAACAATTCAAATCGATAGATTGTTTCACTAAAAATTCGTCATCCTCGGCCTTACATAAAACGACTGAACTTCATGATAATGCTGTTGGTCATACATATGATATTAATGGTGAAAAGCTTGAAATTTCCAAAATAGTTTCGCTAGTTGATTATGATTCGGATGATTCTGCCATTGTCATTGGTTCATCATCAAATAATGAAAGATCTGAAAAATTAGTTGAAAATATCAAAACCATAAAGATTTCTGATTCTGTCATTGTTTGTAATTCGACTGCATTATCTTTACCATCAAAATTAGATTGCTCTAATCATGATAAATCCACAGAAAAGATGTTAAAAGAAGCAGAATATGATGAAAATAATTGGCTAACCAAACAAACAATTTCTCGAAGATGGTCATTAGAATCAGCATCAAGTGATGAGGAAAAAACAACTCTATTTGGTTTAAAACCCAAACATGAATATCTTCGTTCATATTCTAGCGATTCTCTCCTCCAATCATTATATCAAGATCAAAATAAAGTGAAGGAATTCGATACCTCAAAAGCCGATTGCAAAAATGATCTAATAGTTGGATCACTTACGGCTACTGTAATCGATAATGTCTGTAATGAGAAAACTTTTCGATCTCAATGTATATCACCGGACTCATATCTACAATGTCCATCATCATCTTCATCTCCATCGCAATCTTTATCGAAAATAAAATTAGCTTCAAATTCTGAATTAATCAAAGACAAGAATGATTTTCAAAAGAAAATAAATTTAAATGAATCACCACCCGCAATAACAAATGTGCAGCATCCAGATATAACATCATCAGTCATTGATGATGAAGAGCATCATTTTAATTGTGATAATCGAGATTGTGGACAAAAATATGACGATAAAAATACCTGTTGTCTACATTGTCATCATCATCATCACTTTGTTCTTCACCATCATCATTGTAGCCATTGCCATGGAAAAAATTCTAAACTTGCCAAAATATCAGACGTAGAAAATGATGATGAAGACGTTTGTCATCGATGTCTTCATCCAATAATTGATGATAATAAAATTGATTTGAAATCTTCAGAAACATCTACACTTGTTCAAACAACATCGTTCAAAGAACCATCAATAACAACAAAAAGGAAATGCACTCACGTAATACCTGCAACCACCGTATCCATAAATGTTAATGCCGAAATCGTATTGAATTCTAATGTTAAAAATGCCACAACCATAATTCATATCAATCATATGAATAATTCAATCGATACTTTTGATCATACTAAACGTCTTAAAGTTGATGATGAAAAAAATAACAACTACAATCATGATAATACTGACAGTCAGAAATCTTAAAGAATTTCATTAATTTTATTTCACTAATCGACATATCAAAAAAGCACAATTCTATCAAATGCATTTAATATGTGCAATTCAATTTCGAATTGTATTGAAGATGCGATGTATGACAAATTTATGTTTCATTCTTTGCTATTATTTTTTTAAATATTCTTTTTTCCTCATTAACATTATTTTTCTCTCGAGTGTCATTAAGTTTTGTTTTTGTTGTTTCTTGTTATTTTCTTATTTTTTTTTGTTCACTCATCGTATGATACTTTTTATTCGACAAAATGTCTTTTTTTCAATCTCAAAATTATCTCATATTATCGTATTAATTCAATTATGAACTTGTTGAATTTTATTACAAATAAATAATCTATGATTTATTTTGTATATTGTCCTGCAACGAAGAGTTTCCTTTCGGTTGCTATTTTTGTTTTATCTACTCTTTTTTTTCATTTGTTCAATAAGAGGATTATCAATATTATCTTTATTATGTATTATTAAATTTGAAAAATTAATAATAAAAATTTAAAGTTATGAAATGTTTTTCACTTTGTATTTTCTTTAGTTTTATTTTTCTTTAAATTTTTCGAATATGAATCGGAAAATTTTTGATTATCGATATGGTTTAATTTTTTTCCCGTTTCAATCGAATAAACATTGTTAAATAAACCAAAACAGCTAATACAAGATTATAGATGATCAAATGATAGATTTCATGATAATAACTATCAAGAGTTTCGGAAAGTTCCCAATATTGTAGTACAAATGGTCGCCGATCATTTGGACCATTACCGATTCCCATAAATCCGATCAATTTTTCTTCGTTTTCTAATGTAGTTAATTGTGTTTGATTATATGTAGTAGCATATACATCAACTAATGTTGCAACGGAATCTATCCAATCTGGCCGTGTTCGATTCATCGAATGAATTTGTTGAAATTCTTTTTGAACCTCAACAATACAACGATCAAGTCCATAGATAGCTATCATCATTGAATTCATTGATGGTCTTAGAAATGACATGTATGAGAGAAAAGCCATTATGCTACTCATTTGAGAAATCATTTTAAAATAACCAGAAAATATTAATATCGGTACCAATATGATAGTCATTGAGAACACTGCTTGTATTTGGCTTCGATAGAAAATTGTTCCAATCATCATTCCTATAGAAAAGACAGTTATTCCAATAAGTATAATAAAATATTTAATTACCAACAAATTGTCCAATCAATGTGATCAAACAACATGGCAAAATACTGTAACAAATACGACTCCAATGGTCAAATATTTGTCCTGTTCCAAGATAAACTGCAAATGTAAATAAAAATGTTGTGATTATTGTGAATGGAAGTTCACTAATTGATTTAGCTAAAAAATATGTGAATATGGTATAGCTATAATTATTATATTCACGGCGGAATACATAAATTTCTTTTGGTATCGTTATCACCAATTGAAGCAAAGAATTGAACAAAGCTACAATATTCAACAATAGTATTACGGATAGATTTTCATGTGCACGTCTTGAATGTTCTTCCATTAATTCTAAGATATTTTCAATTTTCGCATCCCAAAGAAAATATTTTGTTGCACATGTCGAAATCTGACCAACGGTATCACCATATAAAGAAATCAAAAATATGGCTATCAATGTCAGCGAAGGAATGCGAGTTTGCAAACTGAATGGATCACGATAAATACAAATAAAGCATCTCCATAGTACTAGCCATGTACAAAGAGCCAAAGATCTAGAGAAAAATTAGTTTAAACTATTTAAAAAAATTGCGAAAAATCCTACCGTTGATCACCAAGATGAGATCTTTTCACAGCTTCACGAAGTGAATTCATTTCAACCTCGTTGAAATCATCCGAAAAACGATCTTTATTCATTTCATGGTTATAATGTGATAATGTTTGCAGACTTTTGCGACCGAAATCACCGCTTGCCACTTCGAGAATAAAATCCGATATACTTGTATACATTGGACATTGTAAGCTAACTTTTTGTAAAATTAGTGTCAGGTCGTTCGGTCGACCTTGAAACAATATGGACCCTTCACATGATAATATGATTAAATTATCAAACAAGGCAAAAATACGGGAACTAGGTTGATGAATGGTGGCCAAAATCGCTATTGCTTTTCGCTATAAAAATTTAGAAACTTAGAAAAAATTTTATTCGAATTGATAGAAATACTCACTCTTTTGGTTAATGATTTCAGATCTCTCATAATTTGATAACCACTTACACTGTCCACGCCTGTAGTCGGTTCATCCAGCATAAGTATATCTGACTTGAACACCAATTCTATTGCGATCGAAATCCGTTTACGCTGTCCATTACTACATTTTGATACAGTGGTTTCTGCCATTTGGCCAAGATCTAATCGTTCCATGACATTATTAACTACTTTTTCATGATTTAAATAGTATCGTGCAGCATTACGTATTTTCGATGCAAACAATAATGTTTCTTGCACACTCAATCTATCATATAAATGATCAAATTGTTCAACAAATCCGATTCGTATTGAATTCAAGCCATTTACAAGAATATCGCCAGTGTTTTCTTTTCGGATATGAATTGGAAGAAATCCGGCAATACAATTCAAAAGAACTGTTTTACCCGAACCAGAAGGGCCCATGATACCGGTCATTTGGCCACTGCTAAACATTCCACTAATGTTGTTCAATATGGCTTTTCTTGATCCTTGTTTTTTTAGGGTAGGATTTTTATCCATTGAATCAGTTTCATCAACATGAACATTTAATGGGTAATAAATTATATTACGCCATATAATTTGAAAGGCTCCGTCATTAAGATTTGATGATGGCTTTTCAGTATTTTCCGATGATATTTCAATCTTCATCAATGATTCACCAGATGGAATTGTTTGAGAAATTTCATCTTCTTGAATATTATTCGATTTGCCGACTGATCCCAATAATGTTTTTTTGTTGTACGGCTGTGGAGATCCTTTATGCTGGTTTTGATCAGTTTTTTGAATTTCGGATTTTTCTTCATTTTCATTTACATAGCCAAAAATCACTTGTTGCTGTTGTTCATTGTTTCCATTATTATTGCGAGAGACGAAATCGATTTCGTTATTTATATTTGAACTTACATCGGCAGTTTTAACATTTCGTCGAAACATATTTCCTTTGCGAAATTTCATTCTATTTGCCGTCAAATTTTTCAAATTATCCATTGAATAATGTAAAGATGATGTCGCAAAATCAAATGGTACATTTGCCACCGATGAATTTATTGGCCTAAATTTTGTCAATGAAAATTGTTTCAAAGGAGTAAACGAACGTTTCAATGGACCATGTTTATGTTTACTTGAATTCGAGGATTCTTCTATTTTTGAATTAGTTTCAGCGGTTTGTTGTTGTTGTTGTTGATTCATGACTACTTGAAAAGAATTTTCATCATTTGAATCGTCTTCACTATCGGTGGAGGAATCGGATTCTGTGTAAAAATAAATAAATTTTCTTTCAAATCAATTGAATAAATGTGGAGAAAATAAATTACCCGAAGTATTACTCTTTATATTATTTTCAGTTTTAACGTCATGACGATCGGGAATATTGTTAAGGTTTTTAAGTTCATCCATTGTTTAATTTTGGAATTTGTTCTGAAAATTTATCTTGTTGACAAATGTATGAGAGTGAAAAATTCTCGAATAAAACGAATAATTGTTCGAAGACGAAAAATCATCTTCAATCATTAAGAATCATATAATATATTATAATCAAAGGTTGTTTGGATCGATGATGAACAAACAATGACTATGAAGAAAAAAAAATTACCTGATTGTTAAGAAAAAATGGAACATTATTTTTTGGTGTCATGATCAGAATGCATTTCGGTTGCTATTGGATATTTTTTTCAAGTTTATGTCATTATTATTATCGACCCAATGATTAGTCATAATTGTTTATTCTAAAAAAAATCGATTTTTAAAAAAAGAAGTCTTCAAATATCAGAATAATCGGTTTATTTTTTTTATTTGATTTTTTTTGAAAATCAACCTGATAATAAGATATAAAAGCTCAAAATTTCATACATAATTTATTTAATAATTTTATGGTTTTCAAAATGACATTCAATGACATTCACGACCACCAAGTCACTGGAATAAATCATAAAAACTATGAAAACATACAATATTTTAAATTTTCTCATACTAATCATAAAAAATGATGAATGAAAAACATAACTTTGAATGATTTATTCCAAAAAAGATTTCATGTGAAAACTAATAATTTAGATCATTTTTTCAACAGTCAAAGGATAAATAACAAAGAAAGTATTAATTTGGTTACAATTGGATTTGATAAACACAATTCACAATCAATTCAGATATTGAATGAATAAACAATGAAATTTCAAATTTTATTTATTTAATTACTTAATTTTCAAATTATACTCGATTTATAGTTTTAATTTTGCAAATATTTCAATTCGAATTATACTCAATAGAACTTATTTTTTTAAATTAGATTTGATTCGTAAAAACTTCGAAGACGTGAAAGAATAAAAATGAATAACCCAATATATGCTAGAATCATCTATTGATTAAAAGTAGATCAGACAAAAAATCTCAATGTTATAAAGATGAAAATCAATATTTTACCTGAAAAATTAATCGATCACTCATAGTACCAAGGATGAAAATGGTGGGAACATATTCCGGTCCATGTATCAACCGATCATACCATCCATTAAGTTTGATTTTTAATCTTGGCTGGTTGATTGAATGTATGATTGTTGCAAGACATTTTTTAGGCCAATGATACTCAACATTAGAACGGCTTATCATAAAAGAATATAAAATAAGGGATATTGTATGTATAAATGTAATGTAATAAATCAGAAATCTTTCTCCCAGGCCAAGTTTTTGATCACGTATTATTATAAAGCATAATACATTAAGTGGTATAGATATTAAATATAATCCAAGAAATAATTTGCTCCAAAATTTTTTATACATTTTCATTGTAGATGAACATATTTCAAGATGTTTTTGATAGATTTTAAATATAATAATTGGATACATTATCATCACCTTACGGTCACTTTTATGAAGAATTTTGCGACAAACTTTTTTTAGACCTAAATTCAGTTTTTTAATTTCATGAGTATTGATCGAAGCGAATAAAATTCCATGGACAGCTGCGAATAAAAAACCAACTTGTAAAGAAAATATGACAGCTACAATTATTAATATTGAATCTATAATTAGCCATAAATTAAAATACCATCCATCAAAGTCTATAAATGATGTGACGTCAAGGTAAAATTTTCGCATAAAGACTATCCATGTAGGCAAAAGGTTGAGATGCATGAATCTAGAGAATTTATTATTTAAATATAACTGTAATGATATTCTTGATCTTGATTCAGCCGAAAGGTTTGGTAGGTATTTTGATTTATAGTTTTTGAATCTTGTTTTATCTAGATTATCAAAATCGATCATAAATTTTATTTGAGTTGTTTGCCAATGATACCATTCATAGAGACGTCTTAAACCTATAGTGAAAAAAATTCGACGGTAAATGGACCATTTTTTCTTTGACATTCTTTGATGATATTTTTCGAGTAATTTGGATGTTTGTTCATCATCAGGAAGTAAACATTGTTGAAAATTATCGGTATTCACTACAATCAAATCGTAAAAAAATTGAAATGATGGATCGTTTGGTCGAAAAAAGAAAGCGAATTTTGTTAATAAACATGTAATCATGAACAAAATATTGATAACCATATAGTGAAGATAAAGCCGTGAATTAAAGCTGTAAAAGAAAGCACTAACGAAATCATATCTCCAATATTCGTAGTATGATTCGAAATAAAAACTCATAATACTGTTCATTGTTCGTATAATGAAGAGAATTAACAACGATGCTTCAAAATATTGTTCCCATCTGTAAGAAGAACTTTTGTAGTTTTCAACTATATCTTTCATCATCAAATAAGTTTGTTGGTCGAAATTTCTTAGATACATCTTTTTTGAAATTTCTGAAAATCTTATTCCGAACAAAATTTAATTTGAGCCTGTAGTCAAAAGAGAATAAGAATGACAAATTTAGCAAAAATAGCAAAACAATACAAAACAATACTGAAAATCCTATTTTAAATTCCAAAGCAAATGTAGTTAGTCATTTTTTGTTCTAAAAAATGAATCATACAGATTCTAAGCGATCCAGGATCGAAATTCATGCACATTTTTTTGACATTTTCACGAAAATTACATTGTATAGATTGTTTTTTCCTGTTATTTTTCAATATGTTTTTTCATTGAAAAACTCTTGACAATGTCATTTTTTATCGTTTGATCAATTTAAGACATTTTTTTGCACCTAGTTTTTTTTCGGGTTAAAACAATCGATTACAATTAGCATGCATTTTTAGCCACCTTTTTAATGATTATTGAAATTCAAATTGAACTCAAAAAGATTGCATAATTTTGATTGTCATCACTAGATGGAACTATTACAAACTAATGTTTTCTAATGCACTGGAAATAAGGGTGAAGCAAGGTAAACTATTCTCCTTGAAAGTGATCAATTTTTGCGAAATTTGGCCATATTTTTTTTCTTCTTTTTTTATTTTCGAAAAACACTCAATTTTCCAGAAACGAAACGAAATTTCTCGGAATATCATATGAACACGAATTTATAATATTATAATCAATAAAGAATTTTATTTACAAGCAGAGAAAATGAACTGTTCTTACAGTATAAATTATACTCGAATGTTTTTTAGAGTTAATTCAAAATCAATAATTTACAATTCGGTTGTTCACGTTCGCATATCCATCTTTTGGTAAAATCTTTTTTTTCAAGATTACGTTCATTGTTATCATGGGAAAGCAATAAACAATCAGTGTCATGACAATAATTAAAAAATAAATAATTAAGTTTTGTTTGTTTGTTTTTGTTTTGATTCTTATGTAGATAGACTAAAAGATGTGATGAAGAAGTGGAAAAATTCAACAAAACAAACGGAAAATAAAACAAAACCTTCATCTTCTTTGGTTTCTAACGGACATTGATTGTGATGGAGAAAATTGTGGACAATAAGCTTCTCTTTCTGGTACGCATAATTGTCGGGCCATATCATATCTTTGGTCTTCGGGACAGGCATACGTATCAATTGTTTGTGGATTACATTCAAAATATAGTCGACAATCATTTCGAAAATCAGGTACACCACCATTAAATCTACCTTCACAAAGTATTTCACCATATTCATAATCTTGTTCATTTAAAACGAATTTCGGTTGGGATGTCGTCAATATTGGTGCCTCAGTTGTTGTTGTCGTCGTTGTTGTTAATGGTCGTCGTCGTGGCGTATCAACATAATTTAGCCTATTGACTGGAAAATTTTCCTGATATGGTGCCGGTTGTCGATTTCTTTGGTAGTCTATATTCGCCAATGGTGGTGGTGATTCCTCTCGATTCAATGTAGAATTTTGATCGAATAAATTTGCTGAATTACCGTTGGCTTTGGGTGCTAAATAAATATAATATACTTTTGTAATCTTTTTTCGTTCGATATCATCGCTAGCATTTGTGTTTCGAAGTAATCGAAGTAATAACTCAGTAGTAGCCGGATCAATTTTTTTAATAACAGCACCTTCAGGCAGATTTCCTATAATACGTTCCAATTCACTGGGATTGACTGCAGCAACCTGTCGTTTTGAACGAGACAATACAGTTTCATTTTCAAGAATCGGAGCAATTTCTGTAGTAGTTGGTATTGTGGTAACATTTGGATTTTCAAGTGATGCATCTTTATTGATTTGAATGCCTAATCGTCGAGCTAATCGAAATTTGGGAGGAGCCAATGGAGTCCATTCAGAGTTTACAAACCGGATTGGTTTCGATTCCGATGCAACATTTTGTTCTTCATTTTTTGAAGAAGAACGCTTCAATTGTCGTCCGTTACGAGAAATATCTAATACTGCACTCGGTGGATTGATCATTGGTTTGAATTTGGTTTTGCAAAAAATATCACTCATATCATATTTCTAGAAATGAAAAAAACTTAATGTAAAATTTCCATTAACAAAAAAAATGCATTTTACCTCTAGAATGACACGGCTAGGATCACCTGAACGCCACAATGATCTAGATTTTAGAAATGACCCCATTTTGATACGTCTAGGTTCATCCAATGATGATTGTGAATCACTACTATCCAGATCATCATCAAACAATGTTGAAGCCATTGATCCACTACCAAACGATCGACTTTCACCCGATTTTTGAAGATTCGTTGATTGTGGTGAAGCGAAACTTTTTTCATTGACGCCATCTTTGACACTGAATTTTATGATTGGTGGCTGAAAATTATTTGTGGTCGATGATGCCGATGTTTGTAGGATAGATGGCCTTATTCGACTTACTACAAATGGTGATGAATCCGATGAATCTTGATTATGATAATTTGCTCGCTGTGATTGTTGTTGTGGACGGACAAGAAAATTTTGTTTGAAAAAATTATTACCAATCAATGATGATGATGATGATGAAGGTATGAATGATCGATGATCACTATTTGTTGAATGTGATGGCGTTTGATAGATTTTAGTAGAACCGATCGATGATTGTGATTGACTGATAGACAAATCTTCTACGTAGAAAAAATGAAATAAAATTCAGAATTAGAAATATATCAAACAACATGTTAACATTTCAAACTTATATCAAAATAAATGTTAATAAAATGAAGATTTTCATGATTATAATTATCATTAAACATTTGGATGAAAAGTGAAATTCTAATTGATTCAAATTTTTATTGGAAAAAGTTTGACTGAATATCCGACCATTTCATCGTTGATGATATGATGAAGAAAATGGCAGTAAAAAGAGCTAAAATTATCATTTCAAAAGCTCATCATATTCATTTGATTCATGTTTTCATATACGGCAGACAGCTTTAATCATAATCATTTCAGTGATTATTAAAGGATGGATTTTTTCGATAAATTTTGTTTCGCACGATTTATTTTCAAAAAAAACGTTAACATTTGTTCGTAACTAATAACTAAGAAATAGCAAAAAATTATTCATTTTTGACAAAAATCGGTAGCTATCATGTACGTTAAAAGGACCAAAGTAAATGGTATGTTATGAATCGAAACAAAAAAAAAATCTTAATCATCTTGTCCATCATCATTCTTCGAATCATGATTATTAGCATCGATTTTTGATGATAATTTTTTTTTCATTTTGAATAACGAAACAACCACCTTGGCTGTCTTGAAATGGAGAAAATTGGGCCTTTTTTCTTTGATGTTGGCAATGTCCAATCAAAAAAGGCTAACACATTTTTTGATAAAGAAAAAACCAATCATTAATCGATATGTATGTTTGGACGGTCTTTTTTCCTTTTCTCGATTTGAAGATTTTTTCGTTTCATCATGTAATCAAATCAAAAACGATCGGAAAAATCAGTTACTGAAAAAAATTGAAATATTTTTCTATATACCAGATTATTATTATTTATTTAAGCGGCATCAATATCAAATCAGTCAGTAAATCCATTTGATCAACAAATCAACAAGCAAATGTAGAAAGAAGGAGTAGCTATATGATAAAATACATTTTTCCATAATTATTCGATTAAATGATGACTTCTATGATGATGATGATGATCTATCAAATAAAATATTAATATTGCAGGAAAACAGAACAGTAATGAAACAAACAGTTTTTTTTTTAATGGACAAATCGAACCAATGAAACATCGAACATCGACATCGATATTCGAGTCTAACAAGGGAAAAAATAATCGGTTAAAATATCGATCGATTAATCAATCATCAAACTTTAATGATCAAAGCAGAATGAAAAGTATAAATCAATGAACACTAATAAACATCAAGATCAGATGCCAACCTTTCACCAGTAGTTTCCAAAAAAATAAGGGACAAAATAATCATACGAAAATTGATCAAAATCATGATGATGATGATGATGATGAGATGATGGCAATCATTTGATTATGATGATCATCAATAAATCGGGAAAAAAGAGAAATAATACGAAAAAGTTAATAAAAAATTATATCATCATCATTAATGGTAGGGGGTGATGAAAATTCTGCGCGTACCAAAAAAAAGTATTCAGGATGAAAAAATCTTGATGGAGAAAAAAAATTGATCATTAAAACCAGGCAAGCCAAAATGAATCAATCCAATCATCAACATTTCATTATTATATCATCACCTGATAGATTTTCATAAAAAAGGTGCTTTTTATTCGACAACAGAAAAATAATGATAAATTGATTATAATCATCATCATCATTGATGGAATGCTTAAACAAAAATTCATGGTTTATAATCAATAGAACGAGAAAAAATCTCAATAAACATCAACAGGATCGAAAAAAAGGTCGGTTTCATAAATAAACGTCATACTACCAAAATGATTTTATGATTATTTTTAACCCATTGACTGACGACAACGATTTATGATTTGAATTTTCTATACATTAAACTAGGCTTATGAATCTATTTGATATTCCGTGTGTTAATGAAAAAGTCGACCTGATCTAATATCAAGATATTGAAATTGTTGATAAGTAAACATCTGTACAAGGATATTGTTAATTTTGTCTCGAATAAAACTAGCTATAATTAATTACAACAGATAACCTTGATGTTTTTCTCATTGATTCGTTTAAAATTTTCAACTTTTAATTTAAATCGAAATAAAATAAATTATAAATGAAATAAAATGATTAATTTTGTGTGTGTTTTTTTAAAATTAATCTAATAGGTGTTTTTCATTTCCATGTAATCATCTATTAAAATTTTTTAGCAAATAAATTTTTTTCATAGATTAAAAAAACAAAACAATTGGAATAATCAATTGATTGCAATCAATCGTCTTTGATTCAAGATCATATAGTTTTACTTATTGACAGATTGAAGCAAAAGAAACGAAAAAATCCAACAATGTCCCTGCCCTATTTTTTTCAATTTATTAGACCTTAACTGATAACATACTTTCATTATCGTATCATAATTATAATTATCATCATCATTAGGATGAAATTGTGGCTAAAATAAATGCCATGAACGAAAAAAAAAACAAAAATATTGAAAAGAATGATAAAAATCTTCAACTTGAAAACAACAAGATTGAAAGATATTTCCGTTTTCTTGACTAATTTTTTTCCAGTAGAAATAACTAAAAGAAAACAAGAACAAACAATGCTCGGTTCCTGTTTAAAAGCAGATGTTTCATCCTACACACATTCACACTTGATTATGATGATGATGATAATGACAAAATCAAAAAAATATTTTAAAAAACAATTTCATTGTTATCTTGGCAAAATGATTCGAACATATTTATTGACCCATTCCATAATAATAATAGTCAACTATAATATAGCAATGAAAATTGTAGAAAAAACTTTTTGTTCAAATCAAAAGTCAAGTGGTTGTTTGACTTTAATCATTATAAATTGAACCCACAAGAAAACATTCAACATAATCATTTGTCAAAATCTATGCATTCTATTTGTTTTCAATCAATTAGATTTAGATGTTTTATTTTTCTATTGAATTATGAAACTTACCCGCCGTGTTGTTGGATGATGATGCTTCCGGTTGCGTGTGTAAGTATTTATTATTGTTATTCGTTGATTGAGCAAAAGATGATGCGCCCGATTTAATTGGTAATTGTTGATAGGCATAATATGAATATGGTGATGATGTTAAACGTGAGCTAGATGGATACAGTTTTCGATTAGGCATAACAATATTGGACATTGATGTCATTGTTGGTGGTGATCGTCGATGATAGAAACGATTTGCATAAATTTGTCCATATTGTTGTTGTTGTTGTTGTGGTAATGATTGAGTTGCATATTGTGGATGTTGCAGCATTGAGGCCTGATGCCTTACCATAGGCTGTACCGGTTGAGATTGTGTATAAGTCACTCGATTTGGTTCCTTGAAAATCATTTGTTGTTGTGGTTGATTTGCAACTGATTGAGGATGTGATGGTGGCAGGCCAATTTCAGTTTGAACATTGAACATTGACTGTTCATTCATTGGTTCTGGCGGTCCATCAGGTATCAATTCTATTTGATTCAATTGAACGGCGCCAGTTTGTATTGCTTTTAAAATATCAATAAATTCTGGTGACATTGGCGAATATTCAGGTGAATTTGACGATTCGGCACCTTCTGATCCAGGTGTGCCTGTATGTTGTTGATTAGCTGTTGTAGATTGAGGTTTTATTTGTTGTAAATGATTCATGACAGCATTAGCTAGATATCTTGCCCACCACCATTTAGGCGTCTGTGAATTTGAACCAGGAACATTAACTGCATCTAAAGGAGGAGCTATGACAAGCGGAGTCGATTGATCGGAACGTCGTCGAATTGAACTAGGTAATTGTTGTAATACATTTTCCATTATGGTCGAATTCTTTAACCAATGAGAAAAATGATTCGTTGTTGATGGATTTGATTTGGAAAGCCAATAACTATGTCTTGGTGATTCGATTGCCGAAAATATCGAAGGATCTTGTTCTTTTTTCGTTATCAATTGCTGTAATTTTGCTGAATTTGGTTTGGTTACCGCAATGCTGGTCGTTACTTTTTTACGAAATAGTTTTTTTCCCAACTTAAATGATGCTGGTAACGTTGACTGTGATGATGGAAATGTTTGATGATGAGCAATAGATGATGAAAATAATGGCTGTGATGAATGTATTGAATCGGGCAAACCAAATACAGCTGATGATGATGTCGACCATGAATGTGATATTTGTTTACGAGTATTATTAATATTTTTTGGTAGATCTGAAAAGAGATAACAATCATCTATCACGATATCAATCATAATAATTTATTTTTTTCGAATCATACCGTTAGAAATAGCAAACATGACGACAGGTTTTCGCGATTCCATACTGATGGTGCCATGATTGACATTATTTAGTTCATCATCACCATTGTTGTTATGTCGAATTATTTTTGATTCAACATTATCATCATCATTCCTAATTATTGATGGTTGTTGCTGTTGTTGTTGATGATATAATGATGATTCTTGTCGATCCAATGGATCATCTGTGGTTGCCAATGTTGAAGATGATGATGTCGATGTTATTGTTGTCGTTTCATTTGGCATCAACAATGATGAGGTATTGATGATGATGGATGATGTTGATATGGATGGTGATGATGATGATGATGATGAATTTTTTAATATTGTTTTATCATTAAAATCATGGCTATGTACGGATATTGATTGTTGATTATTATGATTGTTATCAATATGAAAATTTTCCGTCGATTGTGTATTAATAAATTGACATTGAACTAGAGTATTATTATAAAGAATAAAACAAATGTATACATAATTAGAATTTTTAGATACAATCAGAAAAAAAACTGATCATTGTCAGATCAGCTAATAATTTATTTACGATTCAATTTGGATCCAAACACAATCATTTTTTTATAATAAAAATAATAGAATTTTATCTTTATTCGAATTATATGAAGACTGATAGAAACTATCATAAAATAATAATCATCAAAAGAAAAGGTGAAAAAAAACATCAATTGTATTGTTTCTTTCTGTGTGATATTTAAATTAATCAAATCCCAATTATCTGTAATCGATATACTTGGAAATGATAATAACGATAAAGAATAGAGAACAAAAGAGAATCTAGTTAGAATCTAAATTTAGTGTTTTTTTTCATTCCGATTCGGTAATATTCAGATTTGAATTTCATTTCATTTTTTTTCACTGTAGTTGTTTGTAATTTTCTATCATCAACAATAGTGAATGCGTGTGTGGCCTGAATATATTGAGATACGAAAGTTTTTTTGATGATGAATAATGATGACCCATTATCATCATTTTTTCAAGTGTTATCATTCAATTTAAACACGAACAATTAAATTGATTGTTAATTTACATTATTGTAATTTGTTCCTCAATAACATCATTGATATTCAAATAAATGAATGAATGAACAACAAGGAATAAAATGAACTTTATTTCAATTTTTGATCACACAATTCAATTCATTATCTTGGATCGAATGTATTAAAGTACGATAAAAAGTGAATGAAAATTTTTCAAATTTCAAAATCACAAATTTTAAAAGCAAAACTTATTCATTTGCATAATTAGTGCAGGAAAAGTTCAAATGTTTCGAAATGAAATCACAAAAATCGGATGATCATCTTCAACATCAAGTATTCATCTTCATCAGATAGTTTATCAAGAAAAAAATACATAGAAATTCACATTTTGAAATTTAGCTTAATTAATTTTGTTCTTCAAATTTCATCAATATCGACTTCGAATTGTTGTTGTTATTCACCGTGAATAAAAGTGTCATCAATGATAAAATCTGGTTTGTGTATTGAATAAAATCATCTTGTTTGCAGAAAAACTGGGTCAAGATTTGGATATCATCATTCGTTTCATTTCATCTCACACACACACACCTTTGATATGTTTGAATCTTATGAATTTTTAAATTTCGTTGTCCTTGTACAAAAAAAAAATTCATCATCATCATAAACACTAACATTGTGAATGAATTTCGTCAAATCGAAATAAGATTAAAGACGAATAAACAAAAATCATTATTATTTTAATTGATGAGAAAAAAAACGAGAACTTTTCAATTACCGTCATCATATTTAATTTACCCATCAATTTATACGTATATGTAACCAAAGTTTCTAATTTATATATTTTCAACAAAAATCCAAAAAAGTCATAAAAAAATAAGACAACAAAAAAAGTTCACTCATTGACTTTGCAATTTGCAAGATAATTGGCACGAAAAAAGCACCAAACAACCTTACCCTTTTAATCATTGATTTCATTATCGAATGAATGAATGATTTATTTACGATGAAATTTGATCAATTCCAATTAAACTTTTCAACTTTATCAAAATAATTAATAACTTCAAAAAATCATTCTAAGCCTTGAGCACCAATTTTTTGACGACAATTTCCGAATTAAAATAGGAAGGTTAAAAAATGTGAGAAAAAATATCCTGATATGACTGGTAAAATGTCAAATTTAAGAAAAAATCATTCTTTCTTTTACTTCGATTTCGTAATTAAAAAATTATTTATCCGGGATAATGTTTAATTTCATCAATTTTCAGCAAAAATGATTAAATTGAATTATCTATGTGCCAATTGCTATAGTAGATAATAACCATAGGTAGAAAAATCTAATAACTAACTGGAAAATAAAGCCGGTTTTTATGTATAATTATCTTAAAAAAAGATGATTGAATTGTACTCTGGTAGTCGAAATATGAAAGATGAAAAAATTTGAACATAATTTAAAAAAGAAAATTTTTTAGTGAAAAAAATATATGTAGGATTCATTCAATTCATTCAACATTAATAGAATAATTTTTTTCCATTTTTGGATCAATCAGTTAATTGATCATTGTTTTTTTTTGTTGCTTTAGTTGTGCACCGGAAAAAACCACAACAACAACAACAACAAAATTGGGATGATTCTTAATCGAGTTTTTACTAGGGGAAAAACATGATTTTTTTTAAACGATATGTGAAAGTTTTCAAAAAAAAAAAATTTAATCAACTGCTAAATCTTTGATAAATTGTAACATTTATTTCATTCAATGATGTTTTCATTTTAAAGTCACGATCTTTAAAAAAAGGAACAATTCCAACAATCAGCATCATTACGAGAGAAAAAAAAACTACAAATCAAATCACAAACAAACAAGATCAGTTTGATTAAACTTCAAAAATCATGCCTTTTTTGAATATTATTAAAATCGGGTGAAAATCAAATGTTCCTTATTTTGTTTCTCCATTCATTACCCAGTCAACAACAACTGCCAGTTATATTCATCACAATACATTCGATAATTTAAATAATTATCACAAGATACAATGTATAAATGATTAAATTTTTTTCTGAACCTAAAAAACTGAACAAATTTAAAATATGTTATTTTCGCACGCAGTATTCGCACAGTGTTACTTAGGTAATAATAAAAATGATAAAACAATAAGGAAATAACAACTCACATCAAATTATCATTTGCCAGAAAAATCGCTAAAGAATCATATTTTTTAAAAAATTCATCGAATAGGATAATAATATATATACACACAAACATACCTATGAGGATAGAAATAGACACTTTTTACATTTAGAGTAATAAAAAGATCAAAAAAAATTTCATGTTTTTTTTTCTTCAAATGTTTTATATTTCTCAGGGGCAAATTATTATTTATCTCCTTCTATTTTGATCATCATGGAATACAATATTTATCTATCCTAAAGGCAAATGGATCCAAATATATTCTAATTCAAAAATCGTTAATCGAATAAGGTTGTTAATTTATGATTTCCTTGATGGTTCTTTACTTTTTCTTTCTTTCTCTATTTTTTTCACTCTTTTCAATTTTTTACATCCAGGACACACACACGCACAAATTTTCATCAAAATCTAAGCTTTTCGAAGCTGGGCCAAGTGGTTTATTTGATTTGATACACATTTTATATCATCATCATTAGCATCACCATCATACTGAACATATCAATGATTTCAACCAAAAAAAGTTTGGTATGTCTTGCCTAAAATGAATGGATAAGAAAAGAAATTTTTCTTAAGAAAAAAATATGACGATTATTATTACGATAATATTTGTTGTTGTTGTTTTTGATCTACCATCATAATGATAATGATAATCTTAGATAGATCCTGATCATATTGACCTCCTTGTTTACCATGATGATCATGATTGGCGACAAGGTGTGTTAGTGTGCCATTTCGGAAATATCAAATATATGTACAGGCTAATAAATCACGATATCGGATGGTATTATTATTATATTGATTATTGAAGAAATTGTTGGCTATCGAATGAATGAATGTGAATATAAACAACCAAATAATCTATTCGAATATCATCAATTCTTTTATAATAATGATCATGGTTGATCATCTTCATCATCATGATGATAGGGCCGAACAAACAACCACCTTCAATCACTACTGATATATTAACCTTTATATTTCAAGATTTTTTTTATAAATATATTTGTTTATTGTAGAAAGTTTTTTTCCATAGTTTAATGATGATTATAATTGATGATGATCATAATCATTATTATTAACATCATCAAGATGGCCATTGGCTATTATCATCTTCATCAAGTGTGTTTGCGAAAGAAAGAGAAAAAGATAGAGAAAGAAGAAAGCACTGAACACATAATGCCAATTTTTCAGAATTTATTTTTAATAACAACAAAACAAAAAAATGACCACCATAATGAACATTTTAGAAAATTATCGTTGATATATTGATGGTTTGTTCGTTGTCATCGATTCGGTCAATGAACGTATAAAATCAATAAAAGAAATAAAAACAATATTTAAAAGTTTCGATTTCCATTCCAATTATTCATATAACTGATTTTTATTTGTTTCAATCATTAATTAAATGATTTGATCATTCATTCAATATGGAAATTTCAATGTTGCATCATTATCCATATCGAATGAAGGAATAGTTTCTTTTTGGTTGATTTGATTATTGATTATTCATTTATTCATCATCATCACCGATGTCAATATGAATTGAGTGAGAAAGAAAAATAATTGATTATAAAATTTTCACCGCAATCATTATTTGATCGTAATTTTCATCATCATCATTATTATTTTTTTGTATATTTGTGTAGGTTTTGAACTAATACTTAGATTTGTTTATCAATATGAAAAAAGCTTAAAAAGAGAAAGAATGGTAAAAAATGAAAAATAAATATTTGAAGAGGTGGACAGAACATATGACTTGTAATGACCTTAATGCAAAAAAATTATAACTATAATTTCTACAAAATTTTAATGTATCAATTTGTCGATTAGCTACAAAAAACTATTTAAGTTTGATAAATATTTGACATTTTTTTCTATATCTTTCCTATGGATAAATTTGATCAGATCTTTGAAAGTTCATTGAAATCATTTATAAAATTTGAAATAAAATTTAACCTTTATTTAAGAAACGGATTGATTTCGCACATTTTTCCGACGGCAAAGTTGTAATCCTAAATAATCATCAGATTAAAAATGAGAGATGTGGTCGAATTTAAATGTTTATTTAGCAGTGATAAAATAAAAATGATTCTGCTATCGAATGTCATTTATCTTTTTTTCTGTCCGTTACCATCATGAATTTGATGATTTTTTTTCCAAATATTATTGAAAAAAGGTTGTGTGAAATTTTTTCAAATTCGTCACCGAAAAAAAACGATGAAAAAACCGGGTGGTAACTATTTATTTATGTGCAGTACCTAACTACATTCATTTCGAATAATAATAGAAAATTTCACCTTTTTTCGATAATCATCATCAATAAAAAATAACAAAACACATATTACTAACAAATGATAGCTGAAAAAGGGGACTTTTTGAAGAAGAAGAAAAAATCGATTCTAATCGATATTTTAAAAATAAAATTCAATGTAAAATTGAATATAAAAAAAGTTGCGAAAAAAATATTGTGTGATTTTAAGTTGTTAGATTTTTTTTTTCACTGGCCTTAGATTTAATGGACAATCATTCAGGTATGGATTGTATGTAATTTATGACTTTTATGTAATACATGACCAAAACATGTTAAATATATTTCATTGAAAATAAAATTGAGACATACAGTGACAAAATAAGTAGCTATATTTAATAATAAAGATTTTTGATGTAATGAAATAAGACAAGATTTTTTTTTATTTGAAAAAAATTGCCACCCAAATTTTTATTTGTCAAAAAAATTGAATGGACACCTGTTAGATTCGATTTTTATACGATTCTAAATGTTTTCAATTTTTTCATTAATTGTTTGTTGTTCACCCAATCATCCATTAATATTTTCGTTCATTCAAATTTCAATTTTGGTCGAAAAATTTTTCTGTTGTTGTTGTCAATTCAATTCTTTTGTAAATTCCTAGGTTGTATGTGAAATATTGATTGATTTTTGATTGACACATATGAAAATTAGGACAAATTTTTCTGTTCCCAGCGTTATTATCATTTTCATTTCCATTATTATTATTAAAATTTATTACTTGAAAAATTTGATTAGCTTTTTCAACAACAAAAAACAGGTAACGGTAAGAAAAAAAGGTATGTTTTGACGAATGTTTGTCATTATTATTATTACGATCATTGTATGGAAGTTATTAGCTGTCAAATATCAAAAAATAGGGGAAAAATACACCTTTATTCTTATTAGTCTCATAACAACGTTTTCATCATTCTATTTTAATTCACAGGTAAAATTTGATTTGGTAATTTTTTTCGAACACTATTTCTACATAGAAATGATAAAACTATACAAAACAAAGATAAATAATTCAATGATTATGAATAATGATAATGTCAATCATAATACAATGATGATGATGATGATGATGATAAAAAAAGAAAAGAAAATCAAAATTGAAAATACGCCTCTTACTTTTTCCAATAACTAAATAACTAGAAAAAAAGTGTTTGGCGTGGCCTGAATATCTTTACAATATGGAAAAATAAAATTACAAAAACAGCAACAGTAATCAATATTTGAAATGAATGAAAGTCAATGACAGCATAGTAGAACATAGTTAAACTTAATTACATATATAGTGGACTATGTTTAAAGATTTGTAAATAAAATTACGAAATAATTTTATTCAAAAATCATAATAATGTTTAATTGAAATAAACTTTCTGGATTTAGGTATTTAGTGATATTTTTTTTTTTGTTAAATTAATAATGAAATTGCCTTGGAAATCAACAAGGAAATCAATCGTCTTATTGTTTTTTACTTTTAATAATAATAATTATAAAAACTGGGATTGGTTTAGATCCAAATTACAAGTAACAGAAGGATTTCATGTGATAAGAAAGTTTTTTTCAACATACCAAATGATGATGAAAGATAGACAATTAATAAACAAGAAAGATAGATTGATGATTGAAATCTATTATATGTTGTGGTCGACCAGAATTTGATGGTCGATTTTGATGCCATGATTATTTGATTAATAATTTGATTTTTATTCGCCGGATTGAATTGATGCAAACAAACACACATGAACAAAGCAAACAAAAATGAATAAAACACGATATTTTCAATGTAGAATATTATGAAAAAACAAAGAACGAATAAATTTGCAATCAATTGATGAAAATAAAATCAAACACACGTCACGAGCTCTATTAGAATTTCGTAAGTATTGATTGATTGATTGATTGGTTGGTTGTTTGAATGATTGATCGATCGATCATGAAATCGATATATCTTGTTAAAAATCTAAAATTGATCAGATTTATTTTAAAAAAGGAAAAAATCAATAGCACTTTCGGATCATAATTATTAACCTGTTGCTTTGGAATCAATTTTGATCGTTATTTTGTTCAGACAAGGATCATTATAATGATCATATTCATATTTTATGGAGGACGCCGATCCATGGACGACGAAAGGATTATAAATATCCGATTGATCAATTGAATGATGAATATGACACAGCATATAAACATATACTACACACACTGAGAAAAAAACGAAAATGAAATCAATTTCAATGAGAATCCAGAACAAAATAAAAATAAAAATCACACGAAGATCATCGATCAATCAAACAGATCAATGTATCTTATATCATCAGATTGACATAATCGGTTGAATAAAATGTCTTCATCATATTCAATAATCAAATTCAAATGACAAACTATGCGTTTGGAGAAAATAATTTTTGGCGTAGTGAGAGACAGGAGAAAATGAAAACTAGATCAATTTAGTTTCTTCGTTGAATGATTGAAAAAAATCCGAAAAAAATTATGATAACCATAAAGATGTAAAAAAATTCAATGGTCAGTAGTTAAGCTTTCTGAAGAAAGAAATAGAAAATAGTTTTTTTTTGTACATCGAATTCAAAACAAATGTTATTGATAATGATAATATCTTCGATTCGCTATTTTCGGTCTCGGTTTTTTTTCTTGATGGTTAGCTTTTTTATCTTCTTCTTCTTTATGCTACACTTGCAAAATGATAACGAATTTGTGCCAATGTCAAAATGATCAAATGGTAATGATGGTCGAAGTGGTGTGTGTGTATGTATGAATGTCAGAGTAAAAGCAGGCAATCAGGCTATTTGATAGGTTAGCTAATAGAAGAAAAAAAGAAGAAAACACTAAACTTATATAAGGTATGTTATGTTATGGGATGTCAAATGCCAAGTCGAACAGATGATAAGATCAAATTTGTGAGTATGATGATTGTGGTAGGATGAAGTAAAAATTTTTTTTTCAATTCTACTATGAAATCTTTTTTTTTCTGGTAATTTCAAATCAATCATTCGGATTGCTTGAATTGCGCCTAGGCTGTGTCCCGCGTAAATGGTCGAGGAGAGATATGTGGATTTTTTTTTCTTCACCTTGATGTATTGACCCAATCTGATTAGAATTTTTGGTTTATTTTGCCCATGAAAATTTATGAAGATGACATTTTTTTGGGTGGAAAAAGAGAACGGTTTTTTATTCACTATTTGTTTACAGTTGTGTGTTTGTGTGTGTGTTGACAATTAAAGTGAAAATGATGATCATGAACCTGGTGATCCACTGACCGACAGACCGATTGATCACTGATGATTTTGAAAGGAACAAAGATAAGAAAAAACACTGACCAGAAAAAATGACACGGTGATTGAATTTTAAAATTAGCACTAAAACGAAAAGAAGAAAAATTTCATGATAATAATAAGATAAATTTTGGATTTAAAGACTTTAAAAATTTTTCAAAAATTTCGATGATCAGGATGGGAAACAAACAAAATGTATTTTTTTGTTAACGAAATATTTTTTTTTTAACAAAAAACACACAAAAATTGAACAAATTTTCACACATTTGTCAAATTACTCATTACTTTTAGTTGTTACATCGTTTTATTTCATTATTTTTTTGCTTATTAATTATTTCCCATTAGAATATTCTGTGAAAAAAAACATGATTCATCGATATTATCATACACTTTCGCTATTCACATAAGCGAACAAAAAAAACAATAAAACATTAAAGAATAATTGAAAAAAACAAACAAACAAAAAATATGTAGACTTTTTTCCCAAGCACAAGTCTGAACACAATCTACGATCATAAATATATGATATTATATTGAAACCTATTCACTTGGGCTTGAAATGAATCAAAGGATGATGTTTGTATGTAAAAAAAAATATTTTTCTCTTTCAATCAACCTTATGGAACATTTCGGACAATTGTAAACAGAAAAAGTAACACGGAGAAAAATTTTTCGAGAAAAAATAGCCGCCGCCGGCAATGACGTTCTCCCTTTATTTTAAACATCTTTTGCTCTAATTCTATCTTTCTCTTTCTTTCTTTCTTTCTCTATCTTTCCATTTTTTTCCCATTCATTGAGATTTTGATAGTTTTTTCTTTCTCTCTCTTTCATCATTCATTTTTATTCATTCATTCAATTCTAATGAATAAAACAGGTGTATGTGTTTGTTTGTGTGTAAAAAAACAACAACAACCGTTAGATTCATCATCGCTTTTCCTTTTCTTTTTTTCCCTTGTACTTGTTCAGTTTGTTCGAAAAGATTTTATTTTGGTTTTCGAGAAAAAAATTATGGAATTTAATAGATAAAATTCCGTTATATTGAACGAAAAAAAAATTCTTTTATTCTGTTATGATAAAAAGAATAAATTTTATGAATAAAAAAGTAAAATGTAAAAAAAAGAATAAAATGAAACTTGGTCAATAGATTGGACAGCTTCGGTTTTTTTTTCATAATCAGGTGATTTATTATCATGTCGATCAAAAAAAAACTTTTTCGTTCATTTTTTTCGATTATTTACAATCATCACCACATTTGTTTAGCCGTAGGAAAACCAGAAATGATTGAAGAAATTTTTCATTTTTTTCAATCATTAAATTACCATAGGAAAAAACAAAATACCATTCAATGAGAAATTTGTGGAAAGAAAAATCCATATTTTTTTTGCTTAAATAATTATTCCGATCTAAAAAAATCTCGATCTCGATTTCGATATGTATGTATTTTTTATTTATTTTTCGATGATTGATCCAATCATCAATCGATATCGATGAATTAAATGGGATTATTACTACTAAATAGTAGTAGTTTACTAGTGGGCAAAATTCATTTTGATTAATATGTACGTAGGCACAACAAACGAAAAAAAACATGAAAAATATTGACGGATAAATAAATTGATTCGATAAATAATTGGCCACATATTATCATTATCATCAAAAAATGGTTTTTCCTCTCTTTTTCTCTCCGTTATTATATACCAATCTAACTTTGGAATTTATTTTTCATTCCATTTAAAAATTATGTTTATAAGAAAAGCTGTTCATTATGAAAATAGATGATTCGTTCCCGAAAGCGTCTTCGAAACCAAAATCAACAAAATCATAAATAGACTCCAGTAGCAGCACGTGATTTCATTTTATATGTTTTTTTTGTTGCTAAACATATAATTTTTGAATCAACAAAAAAAAGTAAATAATAATTTCTTGTTATCTACATCAATCAAATGTCGATTAAATACCTAAAATATCAATTATTTATGTGCGTGTACATTTATTTATTGTTGGTAATAAATGGAGAAAAATGAAAATCTTTTAATTTGAATGATTAATCACTAATAACCGGAATAAAATGAATCGATTAAAATAATCGATTTTCTTTTTCCTTTTCTTCTATTCGACATTTTAACATGGTAAGGTTTATGTTTGTTTAGATTAACTGGTAATTATGAAACAATTACCAATATTTAAATACAAATTACCCATTAACATAGTTGTTTTGAAAAAATATGTTAAAAATAATAATGTAATAAATTATTGTTGTTAACAAAATTTGTTTTGACGACAAACAACAATAACATGATGACATATAATGACGGAAATATACAATACCATATTAATTACTATTTACACTAAACAACGGTTATATTTGGATTTCGTTAAACGAAATCTAGACAAATAAGGCTTGATGAGGAGCAAACAAAAAGTATTACAATTGAACCAGGTAAGTAAAATTGTTTTTTTTGTTTGTCATTTTCCCCACACTTCCGATGAAAGTATTCAAACCACAACATCATTTTAAATAAGTTTTGACATAATTAAACTTTTATTCATTAGAACACACGCTCACATTCAAACATCTGAAAGACGTGTTTACTGATTGATTGTGTCGGATACGGAACTTGTTTAGATTTTTGCTTACCCCCACCACTCTTTTCTTCATTTAATAAAATGACCCAAATTATTTTTCTCGATATTGATTTCAAATCAAATTTCAAGATCTTTTCACTCAATGAGATATATGATGATGATTACTATATCTATGTTGTGTGTTAGGTTTATTTTTATTGGCATAATTTTTCATACAAAAAAGAAAAACAAAAATGAAAATTTCTTGTTCTAATAATAATTTTTTTGGATAACATCAGCTAATCAAATCATGATGTGTTTTTGTTTCATATGTTCATATTGTTGATGAGGTATGCATGATGCCGTCAATTTCAGGTAAGACACACACATACACATATTCAACAGGTGTAACATTTTCATCTTTACTCGGGAAAATAATAATAATAATGATAATAGCTGAAGAATTGAACAGAAAATAATGTAGGATTTTTTCCCAATTAATAATTATATATTTGAGATAACTGATTTTTTTTGAAAAAATAAAACCAAACAAAATCTTTGATATATAATCCCGGGTGTTCGGTGAAAAGATAAAAAGAAAGAAAATTTCGAAAATAACATGTGTCTTGTCTTGTCAATAATATTTAGGTATTCATGTTGAAAAATCAAAAAAAAAACATTCACACACACAAGCATACATTACCAGAAAAAAAATTCTGAAATAATCTTTTAGGTAAGCTTGCGAATAAAATCAATATAAAAAGTAGAAAAACATGTACAATATACCAATGATGATTATGATGATCAATCGATGTTCACGATCATTCGATCAATCTATTATTGATCGAATAATTCAGGGTAAAAACAAAACAATTTTCTAAATCC